TAATTTGTTAGCTTCTCCCTTTTCAAAAATAACTTTCAACAAGAAGTTAAGTTTCAAATTATCATCATCTGGTGAGTGGAACTGTGTTTTTTATTGCAGCGCGCTTGCTGTTGTTAGCCATCTCTTTGAAAATAACTTATGTGTGTGAAACATTGTTGCATTTAAAGTGGAACTGACAGCATTTTAGCAACATTAAATCTTATTAAAATCTTTAATAAATATATTCTGACAAGCAACTATTTAGATATGGTCATTTTCATGTTTTCATAAATTCTTAGAGTGTTTGGGAATTACGTATAAATAATTACATATTCTGCAAATATGTAATTACATTTGGGAACTTTACAGTCCTATTGATCAAACAACCATGACAAGGTAGGCTGTCTCTCCCTCAGTTATGCACATCAACAACAACAAGATCAACAACTAATGCTAGCCAGAGCAAGATTAGCTAAAATCTAACAAAGGAACATTAGATAAAACTTCTCAAACTTTTTCAGCTAGTTGGCCGTCAAACATTCACTGATAAACAATGGGGAATTGTAGCCTCCTTGTACTTCTGCAGCTTGCCTGCTAATGCATGCTTGTCCCAACCAAGCACCCAAGCTAACTGGCTAAAATTGTCTAGCTTGCTAGCTAGCTACTTCCAGACACAAATTAGAGAACACCGCACTCTGACCATTTTACTCGCCGTAGCAGATCTGGTTAGGCTGTTTACATGTTATCTAGAGCGTTCTTGACTAACTATTACTTTCTTTGCCTACGTTTACTGACACCGGTCATATTCAGTGGGTGTTGCACGTTTGTAAATTCATCAGTGGTTCTGCGCTCTGGCACACTCAGACGAGAGTGCTCTGAAATCAGAGTAGATAGCCAGAGTGAATTTGTGAACGCAACAGATATGTTAACTGGATAACAGTCATTCAAGTTCTTGCTAGCTAACCAAATGATACCTACATCTCTAGCTGTGTATAGCCACCGAAAAACAATATGAGGGGAAAAAGTCAGTCACTCACCCACTCCTCCAATGGCATGACATGACGTCCTCCTAGCAGCTAGCTAGCTAGCTATCTAAGTAACGTCAGGCTCTGTGTTTTTAGCTTGCTACATAAATATATACGCTAGCCTATTAGCCACATTATGACTGACTTGTGATCATTGCACTTGCTAGTTTGATTGTATTGACATTGACATATTTGGCCTGGTGAAGCGGTTTTATCCGTTGACTGAATGGAAGCTGATGATTATTAGTTTTTTACTCCGCTGGTCTGCTGGTCTCAGCTGGTCTCGGGAAGAATTTACAAGTCCTTACTGTCCGAGACCGAGTCAAGACCGAGGACAAATGTATCCGACACCGACACCAGACAGAGACATTCAATATGTGGACTCGAGTAAAAACATTTTAAACAATCATCCATTTCATATATGCAAGACCTTAGAGATATGGAAAAACATGGTCGTGTTTTGTTATACCTTGGGTAGTGGTATCTCAACATTTTGGGGGCCTTGCCACTATCCTACCTCCTCCAAACTCCCTTTACAGAAATAGGCTTCAGGTAATAGACTGGGAATTCTAAACAAAGGGAAAAAAGTGGCAACATAGAAAGCAGGCCGACAAATAACGCAATTAGCGTCTTGTTTTGTTTTGTCTGGCTGGACGGCCCCTGACCTTTCAGGAAACACTCACTTCCTGTCTGTCCCGTCGTTGCTGGAAAGGTTGGCTTGCCTGGCCGGGCGGCTGATTGAATGCTAAAAAACACTCAAAATTCCTGGAAGTAAGTGTGTGTGTGTGTGTGTGTGTGTGTGTGTGTGTTTATTAATGTGCTTATTCACAGTGTACATCTCTTACTTGAGTAGTGGAACTTTCACTGAATCATGATAACACAAACAAACACAAAGTCATGTTTTTGTTGTTTTCATCTACTGTGAATCTAAACTACTCCTCCAGATAAAGTCACCATCATCTCCTCCTAATCCTCCTCCTCCTCCCACTGATCTTCAGGGTTTTGTTACCACCTACGCGTGCCTCATATTTCCAGATGATGCGGATCACAAAGTTGTGTTTTTTTCAGGAATAGAACATAGTATAATTTCCAGTACCATTCCATGTATCATTTACAGAGTTGTCATGAATATATCTCAACTGTATCCTACATATAAAGCCACCCTCTCCTCTCCTCTCCTCATCCTCCTCATCCTCCTACTGATCTTTAGGGTCTTGTATCGGCCTACGCGTGCCTCATGTTTCCAGATGATGCAGATCCCACTGTACTCCTCAAGGACTCCTAACCTGCTTCCTGTCAGCATTGACGTATTTTTCGCCCCCTTTTCTCTCCGTATTGGAAAATGAATAATTTAGCCATTTGTAACAACTTAACCATAGCCCTCAGGGTTTCCAGATCGCACTGAATGCGTTACATTGTGTCGAGGGTACAACCAGTGCATTTGTAAAGAGGTTTTATCTGTTGCAGACACCTTCTCTTGCTCAAGTAAACAGACACATACGCACACAACAAAGTGCTAACAGTTGGGACACACATTGGACAAAACACATTAAGTAGTAAACCCCTTTGTACATCTAAATCTATCTATCAAGCAACATAATTATTTTTCCATTAGGCCTTGATAGATTTTTCCGGTGTACCCCCAACATTGTTTATTTGTCCATGATTTAGGGCAGGGGTTGGCAATACCCTGCAAAATGTTGGTCCAGGCTTTTGTTCCAACCAGGCAGTAGCACAACTTATTCTACTCATCAACTAATCATAGTCTCCAGTCAAGCCTTTGAGGAGTTGAAGGAAACCGGTCATACGCAGGTACAGAATGGTGTAGTTCATTTCACCATGTTAGCACACTACCAGTACACTTGGTAAATGTGGTGATGGGTATTCAGAACACAGCTGCTGTAACTAAACTGGCCACATTAACCACGTCCCCACCAATCTTCACACATTTAACCCATAATTGGAGCAGGGTTTCCCCTGTGTAAACCTCCCATGCTTCTTTATTAGTAGTCTTTTAGATTAATAACAGTATACCATAATAAACATATTTTTCATAAGGTTACTCCTTATATATACTCCTATGTTGTTGGCTATAGTTTTACATTAATTGTTCTGTTTATACAATTATAGCTTAAATGTACTTTTATAGCTCACCTTCTTGACCCTGAAATCATGACTATACAGTACACAGAGTAAATGGACAGGATTCTAGTCAACATTCTGCCAATGGAACTTGTTTGTTTGGAGATAATTTAAAACCAGGGGGGAAGCCTAACCAAAAATAATTTTGCTTCGCCAAGAAAACAAAATGTCAGAACCCACAAACACAGGTCCCCTTTGGTAGGCGTTTCCCCAATAGATGGAGTTACAGTTGGACGGCTAGCTAATCCACGGTGGCTAGCGCCGTAGCGCAGAGTGCCAGACCACAGGCCCAGGTCATGCGAGTTCTTCTCCTATTATCTCTCCAAGGGAGCAATTGCTGTTTCAGTCGACTGACAGAGGAAGTCTAAGGTCATGTGCCACCTTCAAACAAACACATAAATCCACAATAACATTGCTAATGTTAGCATTACCAACGTGCCTGGTGTTAATTAGCCTAGTACGGCCTAGTGTAGCCTTAACATGGCAGTTGTTGTTGACTTGTTTTGTCTGGTTCGTTCTGTCCTTGAGTTATGTCTGGTGGGGCTAGAGTTGTTTTGATAGGTGAAATTAAAGCATAATGTTGATTCAGTAAAAGAAAAGGAAAAATACAGGTGGTCAATTGTTTACTTCAGAGGTGTTGTAGCCTACATGTCCTTGTGTTTCTGAATGCAAGTTTGTGCATGCAGAGATGTATTAATGTGCTTGTGTGTGTGCATGTGTGTGCAACAAAGTCAATCTTTATCCTTCGTAATCCATAACCAAAGCACCACTGAGGATCATCTACAGTAGTATTCCTATTCCTACATGAACTTCCTACATTTCCTCAGTTGCCACTCTGAAAGTATTTTTTGTGTCAGTTTGAAGCTAAGATAATTTTTTTAACAAATAATTTCAGCAATTCCAACCACTAATAAAAGCTCTGAAATTCCTCCTGCCTCGATAGTTTTTTCCATATCACCCACATCCTCCCCATTTTCCTATCATTAACGTTCACTCATGCTGAAATCTAATCAGTGAAAAATGTTGGTTCGTGTTTGTGATTACACAGAATGGCCCATTTGTTTGTTTCGTGATTACACAGAATGGCCCATTTGTTTTGTGATTACACAGAATGGCCCATTTGTTTTGTGATTACACAGAATGGCCCATTTGTTTTGCGATTACACAGAATGGCCCATTTGTTTTGTGATTACACAGAATGGCCCATTTGTGTCTTTACACTGCCACTGTACGTTGTTACCATAGTAACATTGCATTTCAGAAAGCAGGATCAATAAGCTAGCCAGCTAACTTTGATAAACACTTAAATTAAGCTAAAGTTGAATGTGGGTTATACAGAGACAGTTAGGCCATACCATGTCCATTGTAAGTTCATCTTTCTCTATGAACTAGGACAGATCAGACTTTTCAGAAATGGTCTGGTTAACCTATTGACAAATCCAGCTGTGCGTTGCCCACCGAAGCCTCCCTCCCAGACACATTCTATGATCGCTTCGAGGCAGACAATACTGAGCCATCCAGGAAGACTCTTGCTGCTCCGGACGACCAGGTGCTTTCGCTCTCTGAGGCTGATGTGAGGATAACTCTCAAAAGATGGAATACTCGGACTTCCAGCAATGGCGAAACTCTAACAAGACGCGTCTGCGTATCGTCCTTGAACTTTTTACATGTTTTAAGGCATTTTGACATGGTTTACCTGTTTGTTAATAGTGAGTTGGAAGTTAATACGTCTCGTTTATCGCCAAAACAAAATATGCCCAATCTTGCTCGGAAGAAGCACCAGCATGGTTCAGAATGGAGATGGACAAGGGTATAACAAAAACTGAAGAGACACTTTCTGAACGCCTCATTAAAATGTATGTGTTGGTCGATAAACTCCACGAAGACCAGAAAGTCTTGGTGAGAAAGTTAGAAAAAGACTATGCTGACCACCAGGCTGCCATCCTGGATGTCCGCGAGGACGTGGATCAAAAGTACAAGAAGTTGGAAGACGCCATTTCTAAACTCGAGGAGAAATTAGATTCTTACGAAAATTTACAAAGGCGCTCAAATTTTAGATTGCATGGTTTCCCAGAGGCCGTGGGTGGAAGAGACACCATTTCCTTTCTATAGGAATGGATTCCCAAAATCCTGGATCTACCCCCTTCCGCGCACCCACTGGAAATCGAGAGGGCCCATTGAACTCTACGGAGGTGGCATGCTGGCCAGGTTGCACACAGGGCAATTGTCATTAAATTGCTACGGTACCAGGACACTGTCCGCATCCTCTCTGCTGCCCGAGCAAAGTTAGAGCACAAGTAAAATCATGATCTTTCCGGATCTTTAATCCATAGTACACAAGAGGAGGATGGCTTTCTCCCCACTCAAGAGGCTTCTGCGGCAGGCTGGCTTGGCATACGGCCTGCGCTAGCCGGCGACTTTGTGGATCGAAACCAAGAGTGGTGAGCGCACATTTGAGGGTGAACTCAGGATGATGGTGATTGTTTAACTTCGTATTTGAGGGATGATAGTTCTCATCTGGTAAAGGTTTCCATTTATTCACCATAGCTTGATGTATTTTTTCCTGTGCTGCTTGGGTGCGTTTGTGGTCATCAATTTGTTGCTGCGCGGCACAGGTTTCAGGGCACCTTGGGGAATGCCGATTGGTTGACATTTGAGTGTGCGGGTAGGCGCGGCTGGTGACCATGAACGCATCCTCTGTGTTTGTTTTTGTTTTTTACATGCTCAAGTGGGACTAAATAGTCCGGTCATTTTTGTTGCCAATGTTTGTTGCTTTGATTCACATTTTGTTTTGTTAATTGACTGATAACATTTTAATGTTATAGGGAACAGTCAATTCACTTTTATGCACTATACGTATAATTTAGGATGAACCTAATTCGGGCGATTCTATGCATAGCAGATACATCTAGCTTAAAGACTATTGTCTAATGGTATGTTTTTTTTTTTACTCCCTCATTTGGGGAGGGAGTTGGGTGGGTTTGTGGTAGGGTTAGGGTATTAGCTCATGAGATGTTTACTATTTTATACTTTCATAATTTCATTTTGTACAATTTGTATAATTTTGTTTCTATCTTTTTCTCTTTTTCTTATTTTCTTTAAAGATGTCGGCACCTAATAACTATACATTTATGATCCTTAACATTAAGGGTACTAAATGCCCAGTCAAGCGCAAATGCATTCTGAATGATCTAAAGCAGCATAAAGTTGATATAGTTCTTCTTCAGGAGAAACACCTGACTGACTCTGAGCATGATAAACTGAAGAGAGAGTGGGTGAGTCAAGTGTACTATTCATCTTTCACCTCTCGGGAAAGAGGGGTGGCCATTCTCATTAATAAACATTGCCCCTTTCAGCTACAATCTCAGATTAAAGACAAAGGTGGTATGCTTGTTATCATTCAAGGTTTCATTAACACTGAGCCCATTACCATTGTGAATGTGTATGGGCCTAACTATGATGATCCTACATTTTACCAATACATATTTTTGAAGTTAACGTGCTCCTCATCAGAGATAATAATGTCAGGGGATTTTAACTTGGTTCTGGACCCTTCCAGTGATACATCTTCCTCTAATAATATCAACCTTACACAGGCAGCTAAAATGTTTAAAATATTTTGGATTTGTAGACATATGGAGATTAGATTTCACAACCAAAAGGTTAAAGAATACTCAGTTTACTCCTCTGTCATTAACAGTTACTCTAGAATTGACTTACTTCTTATTCCTGCAGGCAAAGCAAGTTTAATTACTGGGTCTAAGTATTTACCAAAACCTATATCAGATCAATCTGTCCTGCTAGCTTCATTACCAGTCAGTAAAACACCACCACCCTCAAGAAGGTGGAGGTTTGGTACATATTTACTAAATAATCTCACATTTGTAACATTTCTGAACACTTTTTTTTAGCACCAAAACAACTCTGCCTCTCCCTTAATTTTATGGGAAGCACTCCTTGCATATCTGAGGGGGCAAATCATTTCGTTTAGTTCAGGTGCTCGTAAGATGTATAAGGCTCAAGTAGATTTGTTGGAGAAAGAAATTTGGGATCTGGAAAATTAACATAGTATAACATTTGACGACTCAAAGCGATTGGAATATAACACCCTGACGACCCACAAAGCAGAAAACGCACTTAGGAGAACAAAAGAAAACTACTCTTAACATGGCGATAAAGCAGGAAAGTTGCTTGCTTGGCAGATAAGGAGAGAGGAAGCTAGTAGAGTTATTAGCTCTATTAAACTGCCCAATAACAGTTGTTCAGGGTCCTGAGGAAATTAATCTAGTTTTTAAGGAGTTTTATGAAACATTGTACAAGTCTGAAGGGGATGCCCCTGCCACAATGCATGAGTTTTTAAATAAACTACATTTACAAGCTTTAACTGATGAGGACAGAGAGTACTTGGAGAAATAGATTACATCTGAGGAAATTAGAGAATCCATTTTCTAAACTGCTGGGGGAAAATCACCAGGGTTAGACTGATTCCCTATTGAATTCCATAGATTATTTTTACCCAAACGAATTGAGCCTCTTTGCAATGTGTTTATTCATGCCATAGAGACAGAAAAGCTCCCAGACACACTTGAACAAGCACTGATCACAGTTTTGTTCAAACCTGGGAAAGATCCTCTGCTTTGTGGGTCGTATAAACCAATATCCTTATTTAACACTTCATATAAGATTCTTGCAAAACTCATAGCTATTTGACTAGACAAGGTACATCCTGATTTGGTTGATATGGACCAAACAGGCTTTGTAAGAAACCGCTCATCTCCTGATAATATCAGAAGATTATTTAATATTATGCCTTATTATGCCTTAATGACCAATAACCTGTAGTGGTGGCTTCATTAGCTGTGGAAAAAGCTTTTGACCACATAGAATGGAACTACCTGTTTGAAGTTTTACATAGGATGAATATTGGACCTAAGTATGTAGGTCTGATTAAATTCCTTCTGAAATTATGAAGACATATCAACTGAACTGTACTCCACTTCTCAAAAAGTTTGGGGAAGAATTGGATAGATGCCGGGATTTACCAATTTCTCTTATTGGGCAGGTCAATTGTGTAAAGATGAATATATTACCAAAATTCTTGTACCTTTTTCAAACCTTGCCCTTTCCTATTCCCAAAGTTTTTTTTTTCAAAAAACTTAATAGGAAGGTCTCTTCATTTTTGTGGAAAGGGAAACCCCCCAGAGTGAAACTCACAACTTTATGCAAACCATACTCAGGAGGGCTTACTCTACCTGATTTTCAGTTTTATTACTGGGCATCTCAGTTAAAGGCTGTGTGGGTATGGCAAGATACAACAACAAGTTCACCCTCTTGGAGACAGGTAGAGGAACAGCGTCTTTCCCCTGTTTAATTGGCATCTATACCTTATATTAGCCCACCTAAAGCTTTGCTAGGTCTCATAAACAACCTTTTAATTAAAAACATATTGATTGAAGTCTGTAAACAAACAGAAGGGCATAGATCTATATACACTACCGTTTGGGGTCACTTAGAAATGTCCTTGTTTTTTAAAGAAAAGCCATTTTATTGTCCATTAAATTGATCAGAAATACAGTGTAGACATTGTTAATGTTGTAAATGGCTATTGTAGCTGGAAACGGCTGATGTTTAATGGAATATCTACATAGGCGTACAGAGGCCCATTATCAGCAACCATCAGTCCTGTGTTCCAATGGCACGTTATGTTTGCTAATCCAAGTTTATCATTTTAAAAGGCTAATTGATCATTAGACAACCCTTTTGCAATTATGTTAGCACAGCTGAAAAATATTGTGCTGATTAAAGAAGCAATAAAACTGGCCTTCTTGAGACTAGTTGAGTATCTGGAGCATCAGCAATTGTGTGTTCGATTACAGGATCAAAATGGCAAATAACAAACAAATACATTTCTTCTGAAACTCCTCAGTCTATTCTTGTTCTGAGAAATGAAAGCTCTTCCATGCGAGAAATTGCCAAGAAATTGAAGATCTCGTACAACGCTGTGTACTACTCCCTTCACAGAACAGCGCAAACTGGCTGTCACGTTCGTTGAATGACGGGACAGACCAAGGCGCAGCGTGATATATGTACATGTTTATTCAACTTAATAAACACACAACAAAACAATAAACGAAACGAAACGTGAAGTCCTAAGGTAGATAACCAACCAACCTTTACCGGAACAAGATCCCACAACTAGACAGTGCCAATAGGCTGCCTAAGTTTGGTCCCCAATCAGAGACAACGAGCGACAGCTGCCTCTGATTGGGAACCACACCGGCCAACATAGAACTATACATACTAGATCCCACACATAGAAAAAGCACAACAAGGAATATACACACCCTGACTCAACATATAAGTGTCCCCTGAGTCAGGGCGTGACACTGGCTCTAAACAGAATAGAAAGAGGAGTGGGAGGCCCCGGTGGACAACTGAGCAAGAGGACAAATACATTAGAGTTTCTAGTTTGAGAAGCAGACGCCTCACAGGTCCTCAACTGGCAGCTTCATTAAATAGTACCTGCAAAACACCAGTCTCAACGTCAACAATGAAGAGGCGACTCAGAGATGCTGACCTAGGCAGAGTTGCAAAGAAAAGTCCAGTGTCTGTGTTCTTTTGCCCATCTTAATCTTTAATTTTTATTGGCCAGTCTGAGATGTGGCTTTTTCTTTGCAACTCTGCCTAGGTCAGCATCCCGGAGTCGCCTCTTCACTGTTGACGTTGAGACTGGTGTTTTGTGGGTACTATTTAATGAAGCTGCCAGTTGAGGACCTGTGAGGCGTCTGTTTCTTGCATGGAATAGCCTTCATTTCTCAGAAAAAGAATAGACTGACAAGTTTCAGAAGAAAGTTATTTGTTTCTGGACATTTTGATCCTGTAATCGAACCCACAATTGCTGATGCTCCAGATACTCAACTAGTCTCAAGAAGCCAGTTGAGAACAAGTTCTCAATTACAACTGCGACCTGGCCAAGATAAAGCAAAGCAGTGCAGTAAAAACAACAACAACACAGAGTTACATATGGAATAAACAAAACGTACAGTCAATAACACAATAGAACATCTATATACAGTGTGTGCAAATGTAGTAAGTTATGGAGGTAAGGCAATAAATAGGCCATAGTGCATTTGGCTTTGGGGATGACCAGTGAGATATACCTGCTGGAACGCATACTACGGGTGGGTGTTGCTATGGTGACCAATGAGCTAAGATAAGGTGGGGATTTGCCTAGCAGAGATTTATAGATGACCTGGAGCCAGTGGGTTTGGCGACGAATATGTAGTGAGGGCCAGCCAACAAGAGCATACAGGTCACAATGGTGGGTAGTATATAGGCCTTTGGTGACAAAACGGATGGCACTGTGATAGACTACATCCAATTTGCTGAGTAGAGTGTTGGAAGCTATTTTGTAAATAACATCGCCGAAGTCAAGGATCGGTAGGATAGTCAGTTTTACGAGGGCATGTTTAGCAGCATGAGTGAAGGAGGCTTTGTTGCGAAATAGGAAGCCGATTCTAGATTTAACTTTGGATTGGAGATGCTTAATGTGAGTCTGGAAGGAGAGTTTACGGTCTAACCAGACACCTAGGTATTTGTAGTTGTCCACATATTCTAAGTCAGACCCGCCGAGAGTAGTGATTCTAGTCGGGCAGGCGGGAGCAAGCAGCGTTCGATTGAAGAGGATGCATTTTGTTTTACTAGCGTTTAAGAGCAGTTGGAGGCCACGGAAGGAGTGTTGTATGGCATTGAAGCTCGTTTGGAGGTTTGTTAACACAGGGTCCAATGAAGGGCCAGATGTATACAAAATGGTGTTGTCTGCGTAGAGGTGGATCTGAGAGTCACCAGCAGCAAGAGCGACATCATTGATATACACAGGGAATAGAGTCGGTCCGAGAATTTAACCCTGTGGCACCCCCATAGAGACTGCCAGAGGTCCAGACAACCGGCCCTCCGATTTGACACATTGAACTCTATCTGAGAAGTAGTTGGTGAACCAGGCGAGGCAGTCATTTCAGAAACCAAGGCTATTTAGTCTGCCAATAAGAATGCTTTGATTGACAGAGTCAAAAGCCTTGGCCAGGTCAATGAAGACGGCTGCACAGTACTGTCTTTTATCGATCGCGGTTATTATATCGTTTAGGACCTTGAGCTTGGCTGTGGTACACCCATGACCAGCTTGGAAACCAGATTGCATAGCGGAGAAGGTACGGTGGGATTCGAAATGGTCGGTGATCTGTTTGTTAACTTGGCTTTCAAATACTTTCGAAAGGTAGGGCAGGATGGATATAGGTCTGTAACAGTTTGGATCTAAAGTGTCACCCCCTTTGAAGAGGGGGATGACCGCGGCAGCTTTCCAATCTCTGGGGATCTCAGACGATACGAAAGAGAGGTTGAACAGGCTGGTAATAGGGGTTGCGACAATTTCGGTGGCTAATTTTAGAAAGAAAAGGTCCAGATTGTCTAGCCCAGCTGATTTGTAGGGGTCCAGATTTTGCAGCTCTTTCAGAACATCAGCTATCTGAATTTGGGTGAAGGAGAAGCGGGGGGTGGCATGGGCAAGTTGCAGCGGAGGGTGCAGAGCTGGTGCACCCTGGACGGGGTAGGGGTAGCCAGGTGGAAAGCATGGCCAGCCATAGAAAAATGCTTGTTGAAATTTTCGATTATCGTAGATTTATCGGTAGTGACAGTGTTTCCTAGCCTCAGTGCAGTGGGCAGCTGGGAGGAGGTGCTCTTATTCTCCATGGACTTTACAGTGTCCCAAAACTTTTTGGAGTTAGTGCTACAGGATGCACATTTCTGTTTGAAAAAGTTAGCCTTTGCTTTCCTAACTGATTGTGTATATTGGTTCCTGACTTCCCTGAAAAGTTGCATATCGCGGGGGCTGTTCGATGTTAATGCAGTACGCCACAGGATGTTTTTGTGCTGGTCAAGGGCAGTCAAGTCTGGGGTGAACCAGGGGCTATATCTGTTCTTAGTTCTGAATTTTTTTTATGTGGCATGCTTATTTAAGATGGAGAGGAAAGCACTTTTAAAGAACAACCAGGCATCCTCTACTGACGGAATGAGGTCAATATCCATCCAGGATACCCGGGCCAGGTCAATTAGAAAGGCCTGCTCGCTGAAGTGTTTTAGGGAGCGTTTGACAGTGATGGGGGGTGGTCGTTTGACCACGGACCCATTACTGACGCAGGCAATGAGGCAGTGATCGCTGAGATCCTGGTTGAAGACAGCGGAGGTGTATTTAGAGGGTAAATTAGTCAGGATGATATCTATGAGGGTGCCCATGTTAACGGATTTAGGGTTGTACCTGGTAGGTTCCTTGATAATTTGTGTGAGATTGAGGGCATCTAGTTTAGATTGTAGGACGGCCGGGGTGTTAAGCATATCCCAGTTTAGGTCACCAAGCAATACGAACTCTGTGGATAGATGGGGGGCAATCAATTCACAAAAGAAGGTTGACGACATCCGATCCTCGTTTGTTAAGTCTAATGACACTGCTGGTCCTGCTCACACTGCCCTACCCTATGCTTTGACTTCTTTCTCCCCTCTCTCTCCAGATAAAATCCTGCGACTTGTGACTGCAGGCCGCCCAACAACCTGCCCGCTTGACCCCATCCCTTCCTCTCTTCTCCAGACCATCTCCGGTGACCTTCTCCCCTACCTCACCTCGCTTATCAACTGATCCTTGACCGCTGGCTATGTCCCTTCCGTCTTCAAGAGAGCGAGAGTTGCACCCCTTCTCAAAAAACCAACACTCGATCCCACTGATGTCAACAACTACAGACCAGTATCCCTTCTTTCTTTTCTTTCTAAAACTATTGAGCGTGCCGTCTTTAGCCAACTCTCTTGCTATCTCTCTCAGAATGACCTTCTTGATCCAAACCAGTCAGGTTTCAGGACTGGTCATTCAACTGAGACTGCTCTTCTCTGTGTCACGGAGGCTCTCCGCACTGCTAAAGCTAACTCTCTCTCCTCTGCTCTTGTCCTTCTAGACCTGTCTGCTGCCTTTGATACTGTGAACCATCAGATCCTCCTCTCCACCCTCTCCGAGCTGGGCATCTCCGGCGCGGCTCACTCCTGGATTGCGTCCTACCTGACCGGTCGCTCCTACCAAGTGGCGTGGCGAGAAGCTGTCTCCGCACCACGTGCTCTCACCACTGGTGTCCCCCAGGGCTCAGTTCTAGGCCCTCTCCTATTCTCCCTATACACCAAGTCACTTGGCTCTGTCATATCCTGGCCACATGGCCTCTCCTATCATTGCTACGCTGACGATACACAACTAATCTTCTCCTTTCCCCCTTCTGATAACCAGGTGGCGAATCGCATCTCTGCATGTCTGGCAGACATATCAGTATGGATGACGGATCACCACCTCAAGCTGAACCTTGGCAAGACGGAGCTGCTCTTCCTCCCGGGGAAGGACTGCCCGTTCCATGATCTCGCCATCACGGTTGACAACTCCGTTGTGTCCTCCTCCCAGAGTGCGAAGAGCCTTGGCGTGACACTGGACAACACCCTGTCGTTCTCCGCTAACATCAAGGCGGTGACCCGATCCTGCAGGTTCATGCTCTACAACATTCGGAGAGTACGACCCTGCCTTACACAGGAAGCGGCACAGGTCCTAATCCAGGCACTTGTCATCTCCCGTCTGGATTACTGCAACTTGCTGTTGGCTGGGCTCCCTGCCTGTGCCATTAAACCACTACAACTCATCCAGAATGCCGCAGCCCGTCTGGTGTTCAACCTTCCCAAGTTCTCTCACGTCACCCCGCTCCTCCGCACACTCCACTGGCTTCCAGTTGAAGCTCGCATCTGTTACAAGACCATGGTGCTTGCTTATGGAGCTGTGAGGGGATCGGCACCTCTGTACCTTCAGGCTCTGATCAGTCCCTACACCCAACCGAGGGCATTGCGTTCATCCACCTCTGGCCTGCTGGCTCCCCTTCCTCTGCGGAAGCATAGTTCCCGCTCAGCCCAGTCAAAACTGTTCGCTGCTCTGGCACCCCAATGGTGGAACAAGCTCCCTCACGACGCCAGGACAGCGGAGTCACTCACCACCTTCCGGAGACATTTGAAACCCCACCTCTTTAAGGAATACCTGGGATAGGATAAAGTAATCCTTCTACCCCCCCCCCCCCCCCCCCCTAAAAAAAATAAAAATAAAAATAAATAAAAAATATAACATATTGTAAAGTGGTTATCCCACTGGCTATAGGGTGAATGCACCAATTTGTAAGTCGCTCTGGATAAGAGCGTCTGCTAAATGACGTAAATGTAAATGTAAATATGGTGTTCAGGGCACAGCTGGGGGCTGAGGAGGGTCTGTAGCAAGCGGCAACAGTGAGAGACTTATTTCTGGAAAGGTGGATTTTTAGAAGTAGAAGCTCAAACTGTTTGAGCACAGACCTGGATAGTATGATAGAGCTCTGCAGGCTATCTCTACAGTAGATTGCAACTCCGCCCCCTTTGGCAGTTCTATCTAGACGGAAAATGTTGTAGTTGGGAATGGAAATTTCTGAATCTTTGGTGGCCTTCCTGAGCCAGGATTCAGACACTGCTAGAACATCAGGGTTGGCGGAGTGTGCTAACGCAGTGAATAACTCAAACTTAGGGAGGAGGCTTCTGATGTTAACATGCAAGAAACCAAGGCTTTTGCGGTTACAGAAGTCAACAAATGATAGCGCCTGGGGAGCAGGCGTGATACTGGGGGCTACAGCGCCTGGGTTAACCTCTACATCACCAGAGGAACAGAGGAGGAGTAGAATAAGGATACGGCTAAAGGCTTTAAGAACTGGTCTTCTAGTGCGTTGGGTACAGAGAAAAAAAGGGGCAGATTTCCGGGCGTTGTAGAATAGATTCAGGGCATTATGTACAGACAAGGATATGGAAGGATATGAGTACACTGGAGGTAAACCTAAGCGTTGGGTAAAGATGAAAGAGATAGCATCACTGGAGGCACCGATTGAGCCGGACTCTGCGTGTGTGGGGGGTGGGACAAAGGAGCTATCTGAGACAGGTTGAGCAGGACTGGGGGCTCTACATTGAAAAAGTACAGTTAGAACTAACCGAAACAGCAATAGGCAAGGCATATTGACATGGGAGAGAGGCATAAAGCAGTCACAAGTGCTATTCTAGAGAGCTAAGACAACAGCTGATAATGGCAACGAAAGTTTGAGCTGAGGCTAAACAGGATGGGGTACCGTATAAAGGAACAGTCCAGCAGGCATCAGCTGTGTAGCTGAGTGATCATAAGGTCCAGTGAACAGCAATAAGTAAGTCCAGGAGCAGTTCAGTGGCTGCTACGCTACAGGCATGGCTGTTGATTGTATGTGCTAGCGGGCCGGGGCTAGCAGATGGATCTTCGTGGTCGTCGCAACGGGAAGCTTGTTGAAACCACATCAGACGATTACATCAGCAGACCAGTCGTGATGGATCGGCTGGGCTCTGTGTCAACACCAGGAGGTCCCGTCCGGTTGACAGAGAGGTAGATAGCCGGGAGATGGGCTCGAGGCTAGCTCAAGGCTAACTGGGGTTAGCTTCAGGACAGTGGTGATTAGCCAACAACGACAACAACCGTTCGGTTGCAGCTAGCTAGTTGCGATGATCCGGTGTTAAGATCATTACTTATTTAATCAGCACAACAGTTTTCAGCTGTGTTAACATAATTGCAAAAGGGTTTTCTAATGATCAATTAGTCTTTTAAAATGATAAACTTGGATTAGCAAACACAACGTGTCATTGGAACACAGGACTGATGGTTGCTGATAATGGGCCTCTGTACGCCTATGTAGATATTCCATTAAAGATCAGCCGTTTCCAGCTACAATAGCCATTTACAACATTAACAATGTCTACACTGTATTTCTGATCAATTTGATGTTATTTTAATGGGCAAAAAATTGCTTTTCTTTCGAAAACAAGGAACCTTCTAAGTGACCCCAAACTTTTGAACGGTAGTGTATGAACAAACACCTTTCTATAATAACCCCATTTTACCCAAAGCCCTGAGAGATGGTATTACATTTTCTTGGTTCAACAAACAAATAAAAACATTTGGTAATCTGTGTAGAGAAGGTGAACTACAGTGAGGGAAAAAAGTATTTGATCCCCTGCTGATTTTGTATGTTTGCCCACTGACAAAGAAATGATCAGTGTGCTCCTAATCTCAGCTCGTTACCTGTATAAAAGACGCCTGGGAACCAGAAATCTTTCTGATTTCTGGGGGTCAAATACTTATTTCCCTCATTAAAATGCAAATCACTTTATAACATTTTTGACATGCGTTCTTCTGGATTTTGTTGTTGTTATTCTGTCTCTCACTGTTCAAATAAACCTACCATTAAAATTATAGACTGATCATGTATTTGTCAGTGGACAAACGTACAAAATCAGCAGGGGATCAAATACTTTTTTCCCTCACTGTACTATCCTTTCAACAACTGGCATCTCATTTTCAGTTACCTCAAACTCATTTCTTCAAGTACCTACAGGTTAAGCTTTATATTGCCACTCAACAGGAAGGTAGGACTCAGCCCATGAGTAAATCTACAACTGATAAACTGTGGCTGGAGAGGGAAGGGTAAAAGGTTTAATTTCTTACATGTACTCTAGTCTTCAAGCTCTGCTGGGGAATGATGAAGCTCTGAAGGCTTACATGAAGTGGCATGATGACCTTGGTCTCATTTTTGAGGATGAGAAATGAGAAAAGCTCTTTTTAGATGCCCAGCATCTTTTATTTAACACAAGGCACAAGTTGATAGGGTCTACTTTACACCAGAGAGACTGTATAAGATACATTCTAAATATTCAAACATTTTGCCCAAGATGTAAAACGGGTTTGGGTTCACTTATGCATATGTTTTTGTCCTGCCCTGAACTAGGCAATTATTGGGAAGACATTATTCAGTTTCAAGAGTTGTCACCTTAGCTGCCTCATTATTATTTTCTTCATAAATGTATTAATTAGTCCCGTGTCGCTCAGTTGGTAGAGCATGGCGTTTGCAACGCCAGGGTTGTGGGTTCGTTTCCCATGGGGGACCAGTATGAAAAAAAAATGTATGCACTCACTAACTGTAAGTCGCTCTGGATAAGAGCGTCTGCTAAAAATGACTAAAATATATTTAAAAAATACTATTATTTGTTTTTGCGTTGAATAATTTATTTTGGATTTCAAGGTCATTCTGTTTTCATTTGTTTTGTTGTTCATTATTGAAGCTAATACCGGGTGAGGGGAGGGAGGGGGGTGTTCATGGGTTGGGGAGGGAAGGTTTTGCACGATGTGCTCCCATGTAGCCTGCTGTTTTGTGTAGGTTGGGGGAATAACGGGGCATTATCCGTGTCATATTTTGCTGATGATTGTTAAATTGTAAAAAAATGGCAATACATATATTGTAAAAAAACAAACAAAAAATAACAATAGTGAATACTCACAAAGCCGCCGGCCCAGATGGCATCCCTGGCCGCGTCCTCAGAGTGTGTGCTGACCAGCTGGTGGGACATCATCTTCTTGACATCTGCTTTAAGGAGACCACCATCGTCCCAGTTTCCAAAGGTGATATGCCAAAATGACTATCGCCCCGTCGCGCTCACTCCGGTCATCATGAAGAGCTTCAAGAGGCTGATCATGGCCCACATCAAGGCCAGCACACTGGACCCACTCCAATTTGCCTACCGCTCCAACAGATCCATGGAAGATGCCATTTCCATCGCTATTCACACGGCCGTCGGGACAAGAGGAACACATACAGTATGTAAGAATGCTGTTCATTGACTACAGTTCAGCATTCAACAAATTCATCAAGCTCGACACCAAGCTCAGAGCCCTGGGTCTGGACACCACCCTCTGCAACTGGATCCTGGACTTCCTGATGGGCAGACCACAGGCTGTGAGGATTGGCAACAACACCTCCTCCACACTGACTCTTAACACAGGGGCCCCCCAGGGGTGTGTCCTCAGTTCTCTGCTGTATTCCCTGTTCACACACGACTGCGTGGCTTTGCACGACACCAACTCCATCATCAAGTTTGCTGACGACACCACGGTTGTAGGCCAACGTCGAGTCAGCCTATAGAGAGGAAGTAAGTGAACTGGTATTGTGGTGTCATGACAACAACCTCTCCCTCAACGTCAGCAAAACAAAGGAGTTGATTGTTGACTTCAGGAAGCAGAGGAGGGAACAAGCCCCGATCCACATCAACAGCACTGCAGTAGAGAGAGTCACAAGTTTTAAGTTCCTCAGTATCCACATCACCGAGGACTTGTCATGGACCAACAACACACCCACTCTTGTCAAGAGGGTGCAACAGTGTCTCTACTTCCTAAGGTGGCTGAAGAAATGTGGTATGTCGCCCCGGGTCCTCTCCAAATACTACCGCTGCACCATCTAGAGCATCCTCAACGGTTGCATCACGGCCTGGTACGGGAATTGCTCAGTCCACGACCGCAAGGCCTTCCAGAGGGTGGTGAAGACAGCCCAGTACATCCCTGGGACCGTGCTCCCACCCATCCAGGAAATCTACTCGAAACGGTGCCTGAGGAAGGCACGCAGCATCATCAAGGACCCCACACACCCCAGCCATGAGCTATTCTCTCACTTACCGTCGGGTAGACGGCATCGAAGCATGAGGTCTGATACCAACAGGCTCAGAGACTGTTTCTATCTACAAGCCATCAGACTGCTGAACACGTGAACTGGACTGACAACCTGCTCTGCTTCTATGCACCTTAGCACACATGCACTCACTCATGTACACATCCAAACAGACACACAATATACATTAATGCTACACACACATCACAACTGCTGCTACCAGACTCAAATCAAATCAAATTTTATTGGTCACATGCGCCGAATACAACAGGTGCAGACATTACAGTGAAATGCTTACTTACAGCCCTTAACCAACAGTGCATTTATTTTAAACAAAAAAGTAAGAATAAAACAACAACAAAAAAGTGTTGAGAAAAAAAGAGCAGAAGTAAAATAAAGTGACAGTAGGGAGGCTATATATACAGTAAAATAAAGTGACAGTAGGGAGGCTATATATACAGGGGGGTACCGTTGCATAGTCAATGTGCGGGGGCACCGGCTAGTTGAGGTAGTTGAGGTAATATGTACATGTGGGTAGAGTTAAAGTGACTATGCATAAATACTTAACAGAGTAGCAGCAGCGTAAAAATGATGGGGTGGGGGGGCAGTGCAAATAGTCCGGGTAGCCATGATTAGCTGTTCAGGAGTCTTATGGCTTGGGGGTAGAAGCTGTTGAGAAGTCTTTTGGACCTAGACTTGGCACTCCGGCACCGCTTGCCGTGCGGTAGCAGAGAGAACAGTCTATGACTAGGGTGGCTGGAGTCTTTGACAATTTTGAGGGCCTTCCTCTGACACCGCCTGGTATAGAGGTCCTGGATGGCAGGGAGCTTTGCCCCAGTGATGTACTGGGCCGTACGCACTACCCTCTGTAGTGCCTTGCGGTCAGAGGCCAAGCAGTTGCCATACCAGGCGGTGATGCAACCAGTCAGGATGCTCTCGATGGTGCAGCTGTAGAATTTTTTGAGGATCTGAGGACCCATGCCAAATCTTTTTAGTCTCCTGAGGGGGAATAGGCTTTGTCGTGCCCTCTTCACGACTGTCTTGGTGTGTTTGGACCATGATAGTTCGTTGGTGATGTGGACACCAAGGAACTTGAAGCTCTCAACCTGTTCCACTACAGCCCCGTCGATGAGAATGGGGGCGTGCTCAGTCCTCTTTTTTTTCCTGTAGTCCACAATCATCTCCTTTGTCTTGGTCACGTTGAGGGAGAGGTTGTTGTCCTGGCACCACACGGCCAGATCTCTGACCTCCTCCCTATAGGCTGTCTCATCGTTGTCGGTGATCAGGCCTACCACTGTTGTGTCGTCGGCAAACTTAATGATGGTGTTGGAGTCGTGCCTGGCCATGCAGTCATGGGTGAACAGAGAGTACAGGAGGGGACTGAGCACGCACCCCTGAGGGGCCCCCGTGTTGAGGATCAGTGTGGCAGATGTGTTGTTACCTACCCTTACCACCTGGGGGCGGCCCGTCAGGAAGTCCAGGATCCAGTTGCAGAGGGAGGTGTTTAGTCCCAGGATCCTTAGCTTAGTGATGAGCTTAGAGGGCACTATGGTGTTGAATGCTGAGCTGTAGTCAATGAATAGCATTCTCTTATTATACTGTTCAATTTAAACACTTGCCTCCCAATCCCCCCTTCCCCAATACACATGTAAATATTGGACTATAAATTGTGCCTTCCTGTATTATACTTATGCTAAAATGTATTATTCTTTTCTACTGCCATTTACTTTATGCTCATATTCTTTTCTTTTATTCTTTTTTCTTATTGTTGCATTGTCGAGAGGGAACCTGCAAGTAAGCATTTTGTTGGACGATGTGATCCATGCGTATCCCGTATACAGTGGCTTGCAAAAGTATTCACCCCCCTTGGCATTTTTCCTATTTTGTTGCCTTACAACCTGGAATTAAAACTGATTTTGGGGGGGTTTGTATCATTTGATTTACACAACATGCCTACCACTTTGAAGATGCAAAATATTTTTTATTGTGAAACAAACAAGAAATAAGACAAAAAAACAGAAAACTTGAGCGTGCATAACTATTAACTATAAGTTGGATGGGTTCAGCAATCTTTAAATCATTCCACAGATTCTCAATTGGATTGAGGTCTGGGCTTTGACTAGGCCATTCCAAGACATTGAAATGTTTCCCCTTAAACCACTTGAGTGTTGCTTTAGCAGTATGCTTAGGGTCATTGTCCTGCTGGATGGTGAACCTCCATCCCAATCTCAAATCTCTGGAAGACTGAAACGGGTTTCCCTTAAGAATTTCCCTGTATTTAGCGCCATCCATCATTCCTTCAATTCTGACCAGTTTCCCAGTCCCTGCCGATGGAAAAACATCCCCACAGCATGATGCTGCCACCACCGTGCTTCACTGTGGGGATGGTGTTCTCGGGGTGATGAGAGGTGTTGGGTTTGCGCCAGACATAGAGTTTTCCTTGATGGCCAAAAAGCTCAATGTTAGTCTCATCTGACCAGAGTACCTTCTTCCATATGTTTGGGGAGTCTCCCACATGCCTTTTGGCGAACACCAAATGTTTGCTTATTTTTTTCTTTAAGCAATGGCTTTTTTCTGGCCACTCTTCCGTAAATCCCAGCTCTGTGGAGTGTACGGCTTAAAGTGGTCCTATGGACAGATACTCCAATCTCCGCTGTGGAGCTTTGCAGCTCCTTCAGGGTTATCTTTGGTCTCTTTGTTGCCTCTCTGATTAATGCCCTCCTTGCCTGGTCCGTGAGTCTTGGCAGATTTGTTGTGGTGCCATATTCTTTCAATTTTTTAATAATGGATTTAATGGTGCTCCGTGGGATGTTCAAAGTTTCAGATATTTTTTTATAACCCAACCATGACCTGTACTTCTCCACAACTTTGTCCCTGACCTGTTTGTAGAGCTCCTTGGTCTTCATGGTGCCGCTTGCTTGGTGGTGCCCCTTGCTTAGTGGTGTTGCAGACTCTGGGGCCTTTCAGAACAGGTATAAATATACTGAGATCATGTGACATTTCATGCGACACTTAGATTGCACACAGGTGGACTTTATTTAACTAATTATGTGACTTCTGAAGGTAATCGGTTGCACCAGATCTTATTTAGGGGCTTCATAGCAAAGGGGGTGAATACATATGCACGCACCAGTTTTCCGTTATGTATTTTTTATAATTATTTGGACTATTTTGTGTATGTCCATTACATGAAATCCAAATAAAGGTTGTAATGCAACACAATTGGACACCAAGGGGGATGAATACTGTTGCAAGGCACTGTATATGACTAATAACACATTAAACATATTGATCATGGTTTGTGAGATATCTCCCTGAACCATTGATTATAAATAAATATTCAATTGCAGTAAAAGCCCTCTACAAGATACATTGTTATGCCCAAGGGTTATTGCATTGAAATGCCAGGTTACAAACTTACAGTAACTGTCAAAACACTACCTTCCTAAAGGATATTTTGAGTACAATGTGTTTTTAAGTTGTTTTTATGGGTGTTATTTGATTTTACTGTTTGTATTTTCATACAGTGCATCCTGATACAACATTTCCTGCCATTGTCTATGTCTGCCTCTGGCTGCTACAGTTTCTCTCTCTCTCTCTCTCTCTCTCTCTCTCTCTCTCTCTCTCTCGCTTTATCTCTCTCGCTCTATCTCTCTCTCTCTCTCTCTCTCTTTCTCTCTCTCTCTCTCGCTTTATCTCTCTCGCTCTATCTCTCTCTCTCTCTCTCACTCTCTCTCACTCACTCACTCACTCTCTCGCTCTCTCTCTATCTTAAAATAAAAATACTACTTGAGTAAAAGTCTAAAAGTATTTGGTATAAAAAGTAAAAGGATAAATCGTTTCACATGTATTATATTAAGCAAACCAGATGGCACAATTTTATTGTTATTTTAATTTATGGATAGCCAGGGGCACACTCCAACACTGACATAATTTACAAACAAAGTATTTGTGTTTAGTGAGTCCACCAGATCAGAGGCAGTAGGGATGACCAGGGATGTTCTCTTGATAAGTGCGTGAATAAGACTATTTTCCTTTCCTGCTAAGCATTCGAAATGTATAGAGTATTTTGGGTGCCAGGGAAAATATATGGAGTAAAAAGTACATTATTTTCTTTAGGAATGTAGTAGAGTAAAATTAAAAGTTGTCAAAAATATAGAACTAGTAAAGTACAGATACCCCAAAAAACTACTTAAGTAGTACTTTAAAGTATTTCTACTTAAGTACTTTACACTACTGCTCACACACACAGTTTGTCATTTTTTTCTCTTCCTCTCCTCGTAGCTTCTTGTTCGGGGGACACATGGAACTGACAAAACCTACATCACACTGATAGAGCTGAGCAACTGTGTGAGTCTGAGAGAGAGAGAGAGAGAGAGAGAAAGAGAGAGAGAGCGGAAGTGAGAGTGGCTCAAAAGGCAGAGCAAGCCCCTTGTGTCAAGCACTTCTTCTCTCTCTCTCCTTGAACGTACACACTTGGTCTCTACCCACTCCGCTGTCCAGCAAGTATCTAACCCACCCACCCACTTCAACCCGTCCCTCTGAGATTGACCTGCTTGCTGACTGCTGTATGAGGGACAAGGAAGGACCTAACACTGGCTGTCCAAATCTAATACTGGTAAGAAAAAATAGTTGTACTGTTCTGTTTCAGATGGGTACTTTTGTGTCACTCTGCAATCTGGTTTCTCAGGGGTTCATCTATGCTATTAGAGATGGGGTGACAAGAGAATGAGATGTCACTTTACACTTTACTTAAACTCCACTGTACTTTACTTGACATGCTCAAGTTAGAGTGTAAGGGTAACAAGTGTGCAGATGAGGAGATTTGTTGTTGTTGTGTTTATTCAAGTTGGTAAAGGCAGGGTTTGTTGTTGTCATCTTGTTTGAGTCAAGCTCCCCGGCAGATGTTCATGTGTCAAGTCTCTCACTGTGCGTTTCTGGAGCACAGCTTTAGCTTTGGTTCTGCCTCTCTTTGTGATGTAGCTTCCCACACTCGCTTTGTTGTTAATGTTAAATAATACCACACTAATATGACATGCAGAAAAACTCTGGGCATGTAGGTCTGTGGCATTCGGAGGAAAATATGATTATTGTACCTACAGTATGTTTTTCCTTTTGTTGTTGAATTCGGAGGTGACGTTGCTCGGGACGAGGAGAGGGTCGAAAATTGGAAACAGACCCCACCCACCCCTGAGAGTTAGTCAGTCCGCTCAGAACAAGGGAACACAAAACAACAGTCCCACCACCAGTGTCAGAGTGTGTGTGTGTGTACATGTGTGCGTGTGTGTGCGCACGTGTGTGTGTGTGTGTGTGCGTGCGTGCATGCATGGGTGTGTGTGTGCATGTGTGTAGAGAGAGACACAGGGTAAGGGGAATTTTCCTAATGGTTCGTTTTGTTTTGATCACTCTGATGTGCTACTTTCTCCCCATATGGTTAGTAGAGCTTGCAGAGTGAGAAGGAGGAGAGAGAGATAGCTAGGAGCGTTGAGAGTGAATTGGCCTTCTTTCATAATCTGACCAATGTATTTCCATGGGTCCCACAGCACTGATCACTGCCCTACAGGTCCCTAAGCAGGGAAAAAGAACAAATCAACTAAATGTGCTTGCAATTTGTCCATCTCATTTCCCCCCATTACTCCCTTCCTGTCCATTGGCACACATCTTCTTATTCCTTTGAAAAACTGTCTTTATGATAGCGATAGCACAATTTGAAATTGTAACAGTAATGACACAAAATGGTAATGATACAAACGTTTTCTTAGCTGTATAGCAACAAAAGCTGTCCTAGCTGTATAGTTCAACATTTGTGTACTTTACCACTGATTGTATTTCTATGGTGTGGGACAATCTTCAGGCAACCAAAAGTTGAAAACATAAAGTCATAATCAGAGACTAGATCAAAACTAGTCATCAAAAGACACAAAGAGTGCAGAGCATTCCCAGCTCTTGATTTCTTGATCCTCTTCATCTTGAACTTACAGTGCACCACACATAAATCTAGTTTGATAAAAACACATGATTGAACTCATGGCTCAGCCTTTTGCTCGCTCTCTCGCCCAAAACACTAAAGTTCCCATCTATTTTTAATCTTCCCAGGGCTACTCCGTATTATAGTTGTGTCTGTGTGGTTTGTTGAGCTACTAAATCAGGAGTTTTATGTCCTTTTTGACAATAATGGTCCATAATGATGACATTCACAAGCTATTTTGCTCTGACTTGGAGGTGACAAACTCAAATTACAGTCCAAGGAGTTCTTGTTGGTTTGAGAGTTGAAAGCGCTTCATATAGAGGTTTGGACTGATGTCATCTATACCTAAATCAATCTCTACTGTTAAGCAGAACAATTTACTGAATTCATATTGTAGATGTGCACTGTTTCATAGATGCTCACTGCTCACCATTGAAGTTATACGAGACGTAGATGAGAGTATGTATTGTATATAACACACCAATTAAGTATTTCCATAACAGAGATGGTGTCTCACTCCAGAGCAACTCTTGTTGAGAGTTACAGAAAATAGCATAAAATCGTAAAAAAGTGATATTTCACAAAATGCCCTCAGTACATAGTTATGGAAAGTGCAAATTGCTCATATTTGCATAGTAACCACTATGATTGCACACGGATTGCACCTTGTGTTATGCTTCGGACCTATGGTATGAGTTCTCAGAATATTGCATTAATTTAAATTCAATCAAATTAATTTCATTTTAGTGGAACAAAAACTCTCTCTGTGAAATGCCAGATTGGGTAATCTGCCTCCGCTTTAATTACTTATGGTCAGTATTTCTGTTGCGGTGATAAATCTTCCAACTCAGACTGTGTTTAGTCTGTGGAGGTCAAGAGGTCAAGAGGTCAAAAGGTCACTGTCAGCCAGAAGAAGCCCACTGGGACATAACACTCTCTCTGGGACAGTAGTTGACTCTCAGTCTTAGTAGAGCAGTGACCTGGACAATAGGTCAAGTGCAGAGAGGGAAGTGGGCCGTTACGGGTCTGATGGATCATCGACAATGTTAAGTGTGTGAATTTCGAACCCACAATCCTGGCGTTGCAAACGCCATGCTCTACCAACTGAGTTACACGGGTGAATGTGTAACATAGTGAATGCTTTGGATGAAGGGGAGCATGCATATAACAGTTGAGTATGTATTGGGCATAATGGGTAAAGAGGAAGTGTGGTGGGTGATGTTTTATTGTAAGACTCCATTGGGCTTTAGCCAATGTTGAGATTCAATGAGAAGTAGCCACAGGGTGGTCAAATGGTTCGTTAACTGCCACCCCCTGCTGGAAAGGTTTAGTCATTGCATGGCTCTCAGTATATTTATATAAAAATATAACAACAAAAATAGATGTTTTATTGTCACATACACCACATAGGTGCCGTTGTTTTTACAGGGTCATACATACTAGTACTGTACCCCTGATTAAGTGCTTTGCTCAAAGGCACATCAACCGATTTTTCACCTTATCGGCTCTGGTATTATGAAACAGCGACCTTTCGGTTACTGGCCCACCGCTCTAACCGCTAGGCTACCTGCCTCCCAAAATTATAACTACAAAACTATATACCATAAAATGACCAATCATCACTAGTTGTCACTTTGAAAGGTAGCTTTTGAAGGGGGCACAGACACTGTGTGATAGAGAGTGCAAAAGGGGAAGTGGTAGCCTTTTTCTGCCATCAATGACCAAAAACACCCTCTTTGGCCTCATGGGTGGAATGTTATTTATATTTTTCATAATTTCATAATTCATAAAGATTTTTTCAAAAAACCTGACTAAAATCTGGTGTTTCTATGTCAAACAGTTTTGTTGTATTTCAGTCTTCTGTGATGTATATAGTGTAATATTGGGATGAAAACTAAAAATTAAATACATTTCAACTCTATATCTGACATGGTACAGGTGTCTTCTTTTTTAAAACCCATAACCATGTGTCTGAGGTGTATACTTTTGCTTCAAAATAGATTTGACTATTTTGACTACCGAGAATCACTCTGTTCGACCCTGATTTAGCCCACTGCAGTAAAAGGTTAATGATGCTTCATGTATGATGACTAACAACTTTTCTCAATTCTCACTTGGGGGTGGAAGGAACCCCACTGATAGCAATATAGACCGAAAGGAAAAATGCTGTACTGTCTATTTCTATCCATTATTCTGTCCTCCCTCGTCTTTTCAATTTGTTGTCATCAAAGCGGTGTGTTCCACGTGAATTAACTTTGTTGAGCATTTTATATTTTAAACTTACATAATACTAGTTTACAGAGTTTCAACTCATTCCCATTATCTCAAAGGAGTCAGGGCACAGGGTTAAAATGAAACCTACATTTGATGTCATTGATTTCAAGTTGTTGCTTGCAGAGACCAAGACATAAGACAAGACATTTACAACCCTTTGAGGTTACAGTACATGCGCAAACAGACACACACACACACACACACACACACACACAAATACACACACAGAGGAGTGTGTGAGGGCGTCGTATCGCTGCGCTTTCCAGCATCTCTGTTTCCAGTGAAACGGAGCGAATGTGTTTTATCTCTCTTCTCTGTGGCTTAGCATAACATAGCATCTCTACCAGGAATGGAAAGGCTGAAAGTCAACCCACTGTCGCTAGCATCTGAACACCTTCAAAGTCACTGCACCACTGCTAGCTAGCGACAGTCTAGTCTGAGGTTTGTTGCAGGATGTTGACTAGAGTGGTCTCTGACAGAAAACACACTACCCTGATATGAGAGGGAACTGATGTAATGGCAGAGAGAGACAGTAAATATAATAGACCATATCAGTAAATAGAATATACCATAACTATACACCCCAGAAATATATAAGACCTTCCAAGTGTCAAAGCTAATTGTAACCACATCTTTCACATGCGCCACGGAAAGTCTGGAACACAACAATGGTACTTTACGTTCATTCTCTAAGTTCTTTCACACTTGATGGACCAGCTTGGTCTTGTTTCCTGCTCTGCCTTGCCATTGGAAAGGACAGTTTTGCTCAGTGACACACAGCAGTCATAACTCAGCTGGTGAGTGTCTCACAATCAGAGAAAGAGACAGTCAGACAGACAGACAGACAGACAGACAGACAGACAGAACAGAACAGAACAGAGACACAGAACAGAGAGACTGAAATAAATAGATGGAGGGTGGTGAACACACCCTGTGGCCCCCCAGAGATTGAATAACAGATTAGTGTTTGCCCAGGGATATACCCTCAGGCCTCCACCCATTACCAGGAAATCGGTGACTGAGATAGCATGACATATTCCAGGAATCATAACACTGTATGAAGCTACAGTAGGACTCCTCTGGTATCACATCATAATTATAATCTCTATCAAATCATCTACATCTGATATTTAATTATGCTATATACATGTACATGTTGAACACTTTGATAGGTGCTGTATGTATCTATCTTTCTTTCTTTCTTTCTTTCTGTCTTTCTTTCTTTTTGGCAATCTGACCTGTGTGTACGGTAACTGCTGTTCCCTCCATCACTGCATTGCCTGACTGCATTCTTCTCATTCCTATTGGCTTCCTGTGCCTGGGAGCGGAGCTGGCACCCCACTGGTCACAGAGCTCAGAGTTGTACATTTCAGTATTACTGAGGAATATGTGCACGGTATCCCTCTCTCTTCCTCTCTGTTTCTCTCTGTACCTCTCCACCTTACTTGTCCTCCTCCCCATCTCTATCAGCTCTACCCGTCCTCACACACAGACACCTCAGCATTTATCTCTCTGACAGAACACAATGTGTGGTACAGGAGGGCACGAAAATGTGAGTTTCAACAGCTTACGAAGGGGGTCCCCCAGGGTTCAGTTTTAGGGCCTATTCTTTTTACACTGTATATTAATTATATTGGAAGGAATGTCAAATCTACTAAACTCCATCTGTATGTCGACAACATTCTGTAAGACACAACAGCAGTAGCAGTCTGGCCCATTTGCCACAGTCACAGTTAAACTCTTAGTTCTCACAATCCTGGTCATTCTCGGTCAGATCAGCAGCCACTCCTCAACTCACTGTCCTAGATAATAGGATTATTCCCTTTAAATGAGACTAAACGTCCTCCATTTGGCCAAATCCTCTGTCTACAATATGTCGTTGAGCCCGGCCCATGGAGATAACTCTAACCTGATGGATGGTCAAATAGATTCAAATCAGGTCAGTTCATCTTTTGGGATCGCCTGACCCAGTCTGGCACTGTTTACACTTTGGCTCTCCTAAGTTCATTTAAGGCGAAATTACAATTCCACTCAAAACAAACTGATATCAACAAGTTTATCAGAACCATAATACAACACAGATAGTGTCTCTCCTTTGGTACTCTTGGCAAGAGTATTCAGCCAACAAGTCATGGGTTTGACTGTGGGGTGGACCCAATCCTAACTTGGGATACGTGCTTGTAGCTTGAATTTCAACACGGCATTCCCATGGATCAATACACACTTTATATTAATGTTGTGGCCCGGGGACCGTTTGCGGTCCATCTTTGATTAATTGTGGCCCCCATTTGTACTGTCATCATTTAGATTTAATCTTTGATTCTTTGAAAATATGTTAGGAACATATTATTTAATATTAAGCAGTACATGATTTCAAAGCAAATGCTGTTGAGGCAAACTGCTATAAAGCCACAGCCCTTCTGATGTTTTCCTTCACAGAGGCACACACACACACACAGACTAAAAAATAATTTTGGCACATCTGCCTAACACTAAAAGTAATTGCCATTTTTTTCTATTCCTTTACACCATAATGTTTTACAACTGCAAGCTGAATAGAAGGAGTTATCCCTCTTCTTTGCTCAACAGAGAAAAATGTCCAGTTTTAACGTTTTAGAGTGACAAGGCCATGACCTGTTTTCAATAAAGTTGGAGTGTTTTGTATGTGTGTTTGCCACCTCATGTTGTTGTCTATTCCAGCAGGGTGAGGCTGCCATGCTCCTTATCTTACCCTTATCTTACCCTCACACTCTGAAGAGTCTATCTATGGACACTACTGTATGTGAACATCAGGGCAGCACACTAGTATTCATCGTCTGTGTTTGTTTGTGAGTTTCTGTCTGTTTGCTACTTGGTACTCTACATTCATACACATACACGTACAATTCAGTTAACATCATATTGTTTACTATAATGCTTTTGCATGTATTTTCTACGTGCACTTGCCATTTGCAGTTTTTCATTAGTACTCGAGTATGACTTTTGTTTGTGTGTGTGAACTCGAAATCCTCTTTATCAACACAATATACCACATCCTTTCTATACTCGTTATTATCGCTGCAGCAATATCTAGTCTAGATATGTCTGTGTGTTCGTGTCAGTCTGTTTGTGTGTGCCTCCGCGCACGTGTGTTTGTTTGAATGGGATGGTTATGTGTCAGTGTGTGTGTCTAAGTGCTCTATTCAATCCGTATCAAGGAAAGTCACCATTACAGCGTGATTTAAAGTTAAAGGCAATGTTCCCGCGTTAGCGGAGGGTCAGTGCTAACATGGATCCTTGGAGGTCCCTACCCTAACCCTAACCTTAACCTCCACCCAAACCCTAACCTTAACTCTTACCTTAACCATTTCAAATGTCAACTTCAATGGGGTAGGGACGTCTCAAGGACCCCGAATAGCACGGACCGTTAGGGGAGACTGCATTCACGGTCAATGCTGCATATTTCAGCTCAATCGGAAATCACCTTTACATTTCTAGGGCAGAATCTGTAGCCCTAACGCTTCAGCGATACAGATGTAATAAAGCCCTACATTTAGAGTGAGCTGTTTCAGTGTTATTGTGTGATTGTGTGGGCTCCACTTTTAGCTCAAATGGATATGATTCAGACAGGCAGATAAAATGTGTGCCCGTACTCACACACGCGAAGTGTCATTTTGAGTTCAGCAGGTGGAGCCCTGAGACCGAGGTGGTTTATTTCACTGTTCCTCAAAGGAGATTAATGTGAGATTAACAGAGCAGCTCAACAGAAACGTCGCAGAAGTTATAGTTTCAACAATGCGAAAATTAGACAGATTATGTCAACACCTTTCGTTTAGTTTTTTTGTTCCAGTCATGTCAATTGAGTAATACAGACATGCATCGCTGGCGCGTTTGACGAAGGGAAGTAGGCTAATCAATTTTTTTTGGAGTTGTCAAGATATCTCATTCGGTACATTTACAGTAGCCTCATATTACAGACAGCCTATATGTATCTCAAAATTGGACCACATGTTGCTCACCTGTTGAATTTTATTCCCTAATTAATATCAGCGTTGAAGACATCAATAAATTAGAAAACTAATCGCAAATTAATGTGTCAAATAGTAACTGCGGAGGTAGGCTACTTATTATTTGGTCTACTCTTGAATAGTCTGTACAATTTAAATGTATAATATGAACTTGAATTCTTCGTTTGTATGATATTGCGAGAATTGAGGCAGAGTTTAGCGCGTGTGAAATGTTACCACGCTTTTGCGTTTACCCACGTAGTTGATTATGCATTTATTGAAACAATCAACCCTCTCGCGTCATCTGGTTGCCCACCTCAAAACTCACTCAGTGCTGAATGTATGTTGTACTCACGAGTGTTTTTCTATACTCCCCAACAGATGGACCTATAGAATCTGGACGGACCTCAAATAGTGACAGGCAGACTGGAAATACGTTTTTCGACAGTGACAGGTAGGATTCCATATTTCACTAATATCAAGGTTGTCTGGACTCCAGGTGTAGTGTAACCTGAGGTAGTATCAGGTGCGTCTGTAAACTAATGAATTGCCTGCTGTAAGGAGTGAGCTAACTGCATGGTGGTGTGGTTGTATTCTACACCATGTATTGTAGGCTAAACTTGCCCAAATTACTACAAAAGGTGATATAGATAATTGGTAATCGTGTAATTGTGCAACTAAAGCATAAGCTTGAACAGAATAGCCTTATTGTCAGTGAAGGTATTACATTTCTAAGAGGCTCAAATACTACCCATAACGTAATTGAAAAGTTTGATTATTTGATGTACTGTAGGCTACTGTAGTTTATGAGTATGGCTGATGTTGCGTAGCAATGGGTGAGAAGCTGTGTGTGTGTGTTTGTGTGTGCATGTGAGAATTGGAAAAACCTGGACACATGAGAGTAGCACACACACACACACACACACACACACTAGACAGGATGAGGTCATAGTCCTAGTAATGTGAGGATATAGTTACGCAGTTTCACGTATGCAATGCCAGAGGAATTGACTCTACTCTCCCATTGTATAGCCTTTTAGATCTCTTTCTCTCCCTCTTGTTCTCCTCTTTCCCTCTTTCTCTCTATCCCTCTCAGATAACCAACTTAATTCACTGTATGAGTGTACGTGCCTGTCTGCCCCGCATGCCTTTCTGCATGCCTGTGTGTGTGCATGCCTGCATAGATGCGCTAAAACATTTTTAGTATCACTTTACCTGAAAGTGTCATTAGCAGGGCTAGTCACAGCCTCAGGCCGACTCCAGTTGTTGTGACTTCCATTTGCTTAGTCATGCAAATGTTATAACAGTCACAGTGTAAAGGAGACTGTGATTGAGGGTTTAAGTGAAATGTTATAACCTTACCTTGGAGGTTTCTGTTAGGTGCCACTGCCATGTGTACAGGGTTTGAACTACACTTTTTCTCATGGGGTGGTATCACGATACTATGATACTACATTTTCCATAGCAAAAAGGAAAAGATGATGCAGACTAAGATCTTGGGGGTGGTTTCCTGGACACAGATTATGCCTAGTTCTGGATTTAAGAGCATGCTCGATGGAGAATCTCCATTCAAAAATCTTTTTAATCCAGGACTGGGTTTAATCTCAGTCTGGGACACCAGCCCATAGTCCTTTAGGCACTTGCTTTATGTAAAACTGACATTAAGGAACTTAAAAAGGAGAACAACTTTCTGAGAGAAGCCTTACTAGACATACAAACTAGATCGATGAGAGAAAATCTAGTACTTACGGGTATCCAAGAAAAAGAAGGTGAGGTTGCCGAAAAAATGGTGAAGGACTTCTTTCTTACAGCGCTTCAAATCCCACTCGAGGCTGTCGATAAAATCCAACTCGAACGTGTACACCGTTTCGGACAAACAGGACAGAGATATGAGCGTCCAATCGTTGCCAAATTTGCTTTTTTTAAGGATAAAGTAATGGTTAAAAGCCTAGGTAAAATACTTGCTGGCATGAAAATAGGCATGAATGATCAGTTTCCGAGGGAGATTGCAGAACGGCGCAAAGTTCTGTACCCAATCTTCAAGGAAAATAGATTAAAAGGGAAGCGTGTTGCTCTCGTTGTCGATAAACTGTGTATTGATAACCAAATATTCCGCAACACAAAGACTACTCCATGGCTATTCTGAAAGTTCTAATAGAGGAGCCGAATAATGGAACACCCAATACTAGCCATGGTAGGGATTGTAATAATAAAGCACATTTATAGTATGTATAGTATTTTATAAAGGGATAAGACGGTATTACAAGAAAAGATAACAAGCAAAATAATACATCTTCAAATACAACTAATTAGAACACAAGTACTCAATCAACATAGTGGAGGTAAAAACATAGCAAACAGAAGACATAGAAGGCACAGTATGTGGGAATGTGTGGATGTATTGTGATGGAAGGTGTGGTGTGTGTTTTTGTGTTTGAAAAAGTGTGGCATTAAGTGAGTGAGAAAGGAAATGGTTGCATATTCCAGAACCAACGTGTGTCTGTGAGCAGGGGTTGTGAGAGAGAGCTTTCAATTTTGTGCAGATGAGGGATATACATTTAGAAATATAATCAATTTTTTTATTGTCCTATCATGATGGAACGATCCCCAACCCTATTCCTAGACACCAACCTGAGCGACCCATACACCAAAGAGAAGTCCCCATCTGTGTTATATATATATGGCAAATAGAAATCCAATATGGATGATATTAAGAGATAGATGGGTGGTGTTGAATGAAGTTGAAGGATGGGACTAATAACAACTAACAATAACTAATAACAACAATATAAGTAATGTAAAGCATACTGTGTCCATAATAAGTATATAGGTTATAGGTTGAGAGCTTTTGTGAAAGAGCACAGTTAGAAAGAAATGGCATATAGAAGCAAACCGGATGGACATCATGAAAATAATCGGCAAGGTTAAGGGTAGAGGAAGTTCAGGAGTAAAAACAAACAAAATATAATTATTGTAAAATTGGCTGTGTCCATAAAATGTATGTAGTATGTATAAGCCGGAAGTAGAGGCCTAAGCATTGTTGTTCACTAGTTTACTCCAATTAGGGAATGGGTGGTGGGGGTTGGAAAGGAATAAAGGGAAATATATATATTTTTAAAAGGATATGTATATGTGTATGTATGTGTATTTATATGTATGTAAGTGTATGTATATATATATATATATATATATATATATATATGTGTATATATATATGTATATATATATGTATGTGTATATGTATGTATATATATATTTGCGAGAGAGAAAAAAAACATATGGGGGATTGGAAGTGATGCAGACAATTACATTGATGGAAGTTACAATCTATCTGCAATATTAAAGCTGATCTACCCCCTAAAGTAAAAATAAATAAAAAATAAAATAAATAAAACCAAACGCATATCTTGACTTGAAAGAGTTCCATTGTTGGATAGCCATAGCCAGCTAGTTAACATAGCATCCCTCTCTGTTTGAGCCGGGTGTTTGAGTAGGCTAAATTAGCTAGCTGCATTCGATAGCTAAGTAAGTGAAAGTGAAAAAGAATACAACAAAATATAGCTATCTCTCTCTCGCTCTCTTGCTTCTCCTTTATTTTTAAATAAATACATTTGTTCAAAACTGTTAAACTATTGTCTTTCTCTCTCTTTGAGTCAATTGCTCACCAAATGTTATGCACTGTAGTGCTAGCATGCTGTATCTTTTGCTTTCAGTACTAGATTCATTCTCTGATCCTTTGATTGGGTGGACAACATGTCAGTTCATGCTGCAAGAGCTCTGATAGGTTGGAGGATGTCCTTCGGAAGTTGTCATAATTGCTGTGTAAGTCTAAGTTAGGGGTTGATAACCACGAGCCTCCTAGGTTTTGTATTGAAGTCAATGTACCCAGAGTAGGACAGAAACTAGCTGTCCTCCGGCTACACCATGGTGCTACCCTACAGAGTGCTGTTGAAGCTACTATAGACATTCATTGCAAATCAGTGTGTTTTAATCAATTATTTGGTGACGTGAATATATTTAGTATAGTTTTATCTATACTAGGAGCATCTGAAAATGTCATGGTTATGTAGCTAGGATCACAGTGTGTGGACGTCTATTGGATAAATAGATTAGCAGGGTGAGTTGGATTGACCATTCAGTGGTTTGGATGACCATTGAGTTTTACGATTACCACTGAAGCATCTATTGGCATGCATGCCGTACATCCTCTTTTATAAGGCTGTTTGTATGTCACTGTGGTTGTAAGCATTCACATTGGAATGGAATGTACACAGAGTGTTGGGATTGTGTGTGTGTGTGGGGGGGGGGGGGGGGGCACAGAACTGTCATGAGGCATGATTTGGAGTTATATTGTGTTATACCAGTGTTATACCATATCTATTGTCAAGTTAGCACAGGCATCAAGTCAATCTCATGACGTTGTTATGAGCATCTCCTTCTGAGCATGTTACCTCCGTTTTTTACACTTTACACTTTTTTACAGTTGTTTTTCACAGCCCGAAACCTGGCTCTTGTGACCTGTCTCCTGAGAAGAAGAAAAAACAAAATCAAAAGCGTTAAAAAATTGTGGGTCTGTTTTAGCCATAGAGAAATGTTGGGCAGCATGCATAAGAACTGGTGCGATTGTGACTCTCTCTCTCTTACACATCTCTTTCTCTTTCTCTCTTGCTCTCTCTTTCTCATCTCTCTCTCATGTCTCTCTCGTCTCTCAAATATGAGTCAGCGACACCTCACCTTAGCCCTGAGGGGATCGGCTTCGTGAAAGGACTTGATGCCCCCGTGACATTGACCTCTGACCTTTTGATTGATTGGCCAATGGAGTCATTGGGAAGGATGAAGTACAACATTAACAAAGAGAGAGAAAGAGTGAAAGAGAGATGAAGTGAAAGATACAGTGAAAGAGAGAGAGAGTAAAAGAGAGGAAGACAGCTTGAAAGGAGAGTGAAAGACAGAGTGAGTGAATGTGAGAAAGAGCCTCTTTTGCACAAAGTGTCTTTTTGTGCCACTCAGTTTAATTGGTATAGTCAAATAAGAGGAAGTGTTACTTTTGCGGTGGCAAAGTTAGTTGTTACTTCATCATGATTGAAAATATCTGTAGTGAACTACTTTTTTTAAGTAACTTTAGTATTTGTGTTAAGGGTAGCTTTAGTGTAGCTTAACTTCTTCCAGTGTGAATAACAGTTGAAGTCGAAAGTTTACATGCACTTAGGTTGGAGTCATTAAAACTCGTTTTTCAACCACTCCACAAATTTCTTGTTAACAAACTATAGTTTTGGCAAGTCGGTTAGGACATCTACTTTGTGCATGACACAAGTAATTTTTCCAACAATTGTTTACAGACAGATTATTTCACTTATAATTCACTGTATCACAATTCCAGTGGGTCAGAAGTTTACATACACTAAGTTGACTGTGCCTTTGAACAGCTTGGCAAATTCCAGAAAATGATGTCATGGCTTTAGAAGCTTCTGATAGGCTAATTGACATCATTTGAGTCAATTGGAGGTGTACCTGTGGATGTATTTCAAGGCCTACCTTCAAACTCAGTGCCTCTTTGCTTGACATCATGGGAAAATCAAAAGACATCAGCCAAGACCGCATAATTTTTTTTGGGACCTCCACAAGTATGGTTCATCCGTGGGAGCAATTTCCAAACGCCTGAAGGTACCACGTTCATCTGTACAAACAATAGTACGCAAGTATAAACACCATGGGACCACGCAGCCGTCATACCACTCAGGAAGGAGACACCTTCTGTCTCCTAGAGATTAACATACTTTGGTGCGAAAAGTGCAAATCAATCCCAGAACAACAGCAAAGGACCTTGTGAAGATGCTGGAGGAAACAGGTACAGAAATATCTATATCCACAGTAAAACAAGTCCTATATCGACATAACCAGAAAGGCCGCTCAGCAAGGAAGAAGCCACTGCTTCAAAACCGCCATAAAAAAGCCAGACTACGGTTTGCAACTGCACATGGGGACAAAGATCGTACTCTTTGGAGAAATGTCCTCTGGTTTGATGAAACAAAAATAGAACTGTTTGGCCATAATGACCATCGTTATGTTTGGAGGAAAAAGGGGGAACACTTGCAAGCCGAAGAACACCATTTTAACCGTGAAGTACGGGGGTGGCAGCATTATGCTGTGGGGGTGCTTTGCTGCAGGAGGGACTGGTGCACTTCACAAAATAGATGGCATCATGAGGAAGGACAATTATGTGGATATATTGAAGCAACATCCAAATGGACAATGACCCCAAGCATACTTCCAAAGTTGTGGCAAAATGCCTTAAGGACAACAAAGTCAAGGTATTGGAGTGGCCATCACAAAGCCCTGACCTCAATCCTATAGAAAATGTGTGGGCAGAACTGAAAAAGCGTGTGCGAGCAAGGAGGCCTATAAACCTGACTCAGTTACACCAGCTCTGTCAGGAGGAATGGGCCAAAATTCACCCAACTTATTGTGGGAAGCTTGTGGAAGGCTACCCGAAACGTCTGACCCAAGTTAAACAATTTAAAGGCAATGCTACCAAATACTAATTGAGTGTATGTAAACTTCTGACCCACTGGGAATGTGATGAAAGAAATAAAAGCTGAAATAAATCATTCTCTCTACTATTATTCTGACATTTCACATTCTTAAAATAAAGTGGTGATCCTAACTGACCTAATACAGGGAATTTGTACTAGGATTAAATGTCAGGAATTGTGAAAAACTTAGTATAAATGTATTTGTCTAAGGTGTATGTAAACTTCCGACTTCAACTGTAATTGGTAGCTTGGTAACTATATTTTCAGAGTAGCTTCCCCAACACTGGTCATTACCTAATGTTTTCATAGGAATGTTCCAGTGACGTGCAATAACTGTTTCCAAGAGACCATTCCCTTACTGTCAAACAGAACTTACCCAGAACGTGGTTACCATCTTCTCAGAATATTCTATATTAATTTTCTAGACACGTTTCATGGGCACTTTGCAAGAACATTCCTGTGTCCAGTTTTCTAAGGGTTAGGAGAATATTCCATCAACGTCCCATCAAACATACACAGAATATGGTTGCCATGTTTTCAGAATATAAGATATTCATGTTCTAGACACGTTTTATTAGAACGTTGCATGAACATTCATGTGTCCAGTTTTCTGTGGGTTAAGAGAATATTCCAACAATGTCCCACGAAACATTCACAGAACATGGTTGCCATGTTCTCAGAATATAAGAAATTAATGTTCTAGGCATGTTTCAGGAGAACGTTGCATTAACATTCATGTGTCCAGTTTTCTGTGGGTTAGGAGAATATTCCGTCAACACAAACATATGTGACTGTCTCAAACCACTGTTTTTGAAAAATAGTACCGGTAAGCTTCATAATGAAAAATTATCTAACAGGCGAAATGATGAACGCGATCTGTTTTATCTATTACTTAGTGCACCAGTTGAATGCAGGTATTTATTTAAAAACTACAAATATTCAAATGTATTAAAACAATGTTATTGACAGTATTACATTGCATGGAAGAGCAATGCCAATTGCATGGTTTGTGTAAGTAAACATTCTCTTCCACACACACCCTCCATAGAACTCCATACGAGGCTTAACATATTGACAGGCACACACACGCCATACACATACACACACAAAGACACGAGTGTGTGCATGCAATTCGTGACACTATAAATACATTGACATGCATATATACCACACATGCACACACACACACACACACACACACACACACACACACACACAAACACACACACATCATACACTCACAAAGAGACAAATGTGTGTAAGTGGCAAGTGGGTGATGCTATAAATATATATATACACACACACACACACACACATATACACACATACACACTTGAACATATGCACACACTTGCTTTGCAGGAATGTTCACAGTGACACAAGTGTTAACCAACAGGTGACACTATAAATAAACTAGCACGCCTAGTTACCTACATATACTACTTCAACCCACACAAAGACGTGCTGTGTGCCCGTAAAGAGACAAATGTGCCCTATTAATACATGGGCACACACACAGACATTCATAAGCACACTCGACTGACACACACAGGCATACATAGGCGTGGTTAGACACACACCCACACCCTCTCACTCACACACACACACACACACACACACACACACACACACACACACACACATACACACATACATACACACACACAGTGAGGAAGGGGGATGGATTCTCCAGCTGCTTGGAAGCAGAGGGACAGAATGTCCCCAACAGCTGTGGATTCCTCCAGTAGTGAAAGAGAAAGATGGGAGGATGGAGGGAGGGAGAGATGGAGGGGTCCTAGGAAAGTGGCTGCTTGGGGTCAAGAAAAACAGCCATCACTTTGTCACCAACACTACGCCCTGTGGAAGGTGTTTTAATTGTCTCTTACCATTTTCACACTACCATGCCAAACAGTGCTGACTCTGATATTTACTGCTTGGTTCAGCTTAGTTTGGCTCAGTAGTATGAAAAGGCCTTCTGTGTTCCAACTAATTCTATCCAAATACCAAGTTAGACTCTTTTTATATCTGCAATTGGTCCTATACAGATGTACAGTAGGATCTTGATCACCCTGTTGCAGGAGAACTTGCAATGCAGGAAATGTAAAACTTGTAGTCTATTTGAGGTTTAAAAAGGCTTCTAAAGTCTGTAATTTCGACTTTGAAATTTCAGACTGTTGAAGCCTTTTTAAACCTCAAATAGACTACAAGATTTACATTTTGTGCATTGCAGGAAAGTTCTCCTGCAACAGGGTGATCAAGATCCTACTGTACATATGAACAATTTATCAACTCCCCCCCCTCCCCCAGTTGGTTGTACCCGCTGTAAATTCATGACTGGGGCACTGAGTAGGCGGCACTGTGGGGAAGGCAGCTGCTGGTCTGTATTAAAAACTGAGCCCTGGCAACCACAACCGCTCGATCCAAAATGGCCGCTCGATGATCCGAAATGGTCAGATAGGTGTAAGCAAAATGGTGATATGTTTACAACATATAATTTATTATACCCATTCATTCCCAACTCTTTCTTCTTCCTACTATTCTACCACCTTCTCAATGTCTAAAATAGTCAAGTTGTTCAATAAATCCCCAGTATATAAAAAAGGCTAATTGATGAGATTTTTTATATATTTTTTTTACATTTAATATAAAGTTGCAGCATCACAGTGGTGGGTTAGATATTGCATCCTCAACCAGTGTACCACAATGGCACCCGTGCATTATACAATCTCTACCACAGACAATCTAGCCATGAACCAATCAGTGTGCAGAATATGTCCAATGCCCAATGTTTGTACATTATACTATATGTGATGTAAAAAGAGAGGTCTACTTTCTTGGGGACCTGAATATTGACTGGTTTTCATCAAGCTGTCCACTCAAGAGGAAGCCTAAGCGTTACATCAACCTACCGGGGTGTTTACAAACTCTACAGGAACAAGATCATCCACATGTATTGATCACATTGTTCTAAAGCTGTATCTGTACCCATTGGATGCAGTGATCAGGAAAGCCAAAGTTCCAAAAGCTGGGCCTGAAATAGTATATATGAGCCCATACAAAAGATTTTGCTGTTACTTTTATGTGGATAATGTTACAAATATTTGTTGGTCTGATGTGATTAATAAGGAGCATCTAGATGCGGCACTTGATTAATTTATGAAATTGCTTCTTCCAATTATTGATAAACATGCACCTGCTAAGAAACTGACTGTTAGAACAGTTAAGGCTCCATATATTGACGAGGAATTGAAAAACTGTATGGTTGAAAGAGATGGGGCAAAAGGAGTGGCTAATAAGTCTGGCTGCACATCTGACTGGCTGACTAAATGCAAATTGAGAAATTATATGACTAAACTCAACAAAAAGAAGAAGAAACTGTATTATGAAGCCAAGATCAAAGATATAAAGAATGATGGAAAAAATACGTTGGAATACTTTAAATGAAATTTTGGGCAGAAAGACAAATTCAACTCAAAATTGGCAAAGTGGGCAAACTTAGGCATGAAATGCCAGCAATGAACAGTGAGCCATTGTACTCATGCATAAAAAAAAACTAATAATGAAAGAAAAGCATTTCAAGTTTGAATTTTGAAAGTTAGTGTGGGAGAGGTGGAAAAAATATTATCGATCAATAATGACAAACCTCCTGGCATTGACGACTTAGATGGAAAGCTACTGAGGATGGTAGCTGACTCTATAGCCACTCCTATCTGTCATATCTTTAATCTGATCCTAGAGGAAAGTCTTTGTCCTCAGACCTGGAGGGAAGCCAAAGTTATTCCGCTACCGAAGATGGTAAAGCGATCTTTACTGGTTCTAACAGCAGACATATCAGCTTGCTGCCAGCTCTTAGCAAACTGTTGTAAAAAAAATTGTGTTTGACCAAATACAATGCTATTTCTCTGTAAACAAATTAACAACATACTTTCAGCATGTTTATAGAGAAGGGCTCTCCACATCTACTGCACTGACAGAAATGACTGATGATTGGTTGAAAGAAATTGATAATAAGAAGATTGTGGGAACTGTACTGTTCGATTTCAGTGCAGCCTTTAATATTATTGACCATAACCTGTTGTTGAGAAAACGTATGTGTTATGGTTTTACAACCTCTGCCATATCGTAGATTCAGAGCTATCTATCTAATAGAACTCAGAGGGTTTTCTTTAATGGAAGCTTCTCTAATGTCAAACATGTAAAGTGTGGTGTACCACAGGGCAGCTCTCTAGGCCCTCTACTCTTTTCTATTTTTTACCAATGACCTGCCACTGGCATTAAACAAAGCATGTGTGTCCATGTATGCTGATGATTCAACCATTTATGCATCAGCAACCACAGCTAATGAAGTCACTGAAACCCTTAGAGTTGCAGTCGTTTTGGAATGGGTGGCCAGTAATAACCTGGTCCTGAACATCTCTAAAAAGAGCATTGTATTTGGTACAAATCATTCCATAAGTTCTAGACCTCAGCTAAATCTGGTAATGAATGGTGTGGCCGTTGAACAAGTTGAGGAGACTAAATTACTTGGTATTACCTTAGATTGTAAACTGTCATGGTCAAAACATATAGATTCAATGGTTGTAAAGATGGGGAGAGGTCTGTCCATAATAAAGAGATGCTCTGCTTTTTTGACACCACACTCCAAAAAGCAAGTCCTGCAGGCTCTAGTTTTGTCTTATCTTGATTATTGTCCAGTCGTGTGGTCGAGTGCTGCAAGGAAAGACCTAGTTAAGCTGCAGCTGGCCCAGAACAGAGCAGCACGTCTTGCTTTTCATTGTAATCAGAGGGCTAATATAAATACTATGCATGCCAGTCTCTCTTGGCTAAGAGTTGAGGAGAGACTGACTGCATCACTTGTTCCTTTTATAAGAAACATTAATGTGTTGGAAATCCCAAATTGTTTGCATAGTCAACTTACACACAGCTCTGACACACACACTTACCCCACCAGACATGCCACCAGGGGTCTTTTCACAGTCCCCAAGCATACAGTATTATATAGAGCCATATGCATGGACATGAACACCGGCCCATCTCCACCGAGAAAATTACAGGGTTTCGAAAAAAGTAAAAGTGAAGGCTCAACGGGCACAACGCCTTCTGGCTTGTGACATAGATCGTTTTGGTGTGTGTGAATTGAAGCCACCAAGGGCTTTTTAAATTGATGTAGTTCTGTCAGGAGCTGTGTTCTTGGTCTATATGGCAATGTTTCAGAGTTTAGCAGGTGTGGACCCCAGAAGAAGTACAGTATTATATAGAGCCATTATTGCATGGAACTCCGTTCCATCTCCTATTGCTCAAATGAACAGCAAACCTGGTTTCGAAAAACAGTTAAAGCAACACCTCACGGCACAACGCCTCTCCGCTATTTGACATAGATAGTTTGTGTGTATGTATTGATATGTAGGCTACGTGTGGCTTTTTTAAATTGATGTAGTTCTGTCTATGAGCTGTTCTTGTCTATTATGTCATGTTTCATGTTTTGTGTGGACCCCAGGAAGAGTAGCTTCTGCTTTTGCAACAGCTAATGGGGATCCTAATAAAATAACAAAAATACCAGCCCTTTATGTATTGTGTGATTTACCTAGCAACTCCACTATGCTACTTTCAGTTCACCTTCACCTAACAATAAACAATATCTAGATTGTGAGGTTGAGTTGTTAAAAATAACAGGCATCTGTAACACACACGCACACATACACATTCAACTAAAATAGCATCATCTGCTTGCCTAAATGAACCAGAAGGATGTCAATGGTGCAGACTAACTTTAGCAACAGGATGTCACTGTTTCAGTTTCTCTGTGAGTGTGTGTGTGTGTGTGTGTATGCATGTCTTTGTCTGTGTGTGAGTTTGAGTATGTCTGTCTGTGCATGTTTGTGTGTGTGTCTGGGTGTGGTGGTAGGCTGTTGCTGCAGCATCCGAGAGAATAACAATGGTTGTGAAAGTGAAGATCTCAACAGAGACCAGAAGTTTGTCTCGTGTCTATTTTTAGCAACAGAAATACTGATGTGATAACTGTTAATCGTGTTAATATTATCATCGAGTTTCCCCTTATTTTTTAGACCTTATGATGAAGTCTTATGTGTACCATTTACCACACCAGGGAGAAAAACGATTTGGGTTTGCACGCAGGGTATGGAGGCACACAGGGTATGACCAAATTTGTGCTCCGTGCTTCAAATAGGACTACATTTCACTGACTGAGAACTCTACTGTATGGGGTCGTAAAGGTAGCCTACACTTGAGGCACTTTATGAGTGATAGATATGTTTCCTATATGTGTCTCAAAAAGCACTTCATAACAATGCGGTTGTAAAGTGTCCTTAATCACTTCAAAGCAGTGCAATACAGGTATCCTTTACACAGACAGACAAGTTCTCCAAAAACTCAGAAGTTCTCAGATTTTCATATCTGTGTTCATATCTGTGGTTGGCATTTTCATGTTGCATGCTAAGTGTAGCATACATTACATAAAGTATACTGTCAATAGTTGGTGTAGTGTTTCTGAGCTACATAATGGCTGTGGTTCCATTGTAAGAACACAGCCGGTGGTTATGTGTTGTTCACTAGAGACTTCCTGATCATTTCCTATCAGGGCATAAATTAGGGCTGGGTGATATGGACAAAATGTCATATCACAATATTTTTCACATTTTTGACAGTATGATGGTATTTTATGTTTTTTAATAATAAATGTTCTAAATATGGTTTCTGAGTATCTCATGACCCTAGGGTGGCAACAAATAAATGATAGGTGATTTCAATGGGGCTTTCTCCATTTATACTGTTCAATTCAACTCCAAACAAAAATATTATTTTTGCATTTTCCTCAATTGCTGCATTTCCTGCACTTTTATTATAATTTCCACACTATGCCATGCAGAATGATTTGGGCAAAAAATCTAGGCCTAGTTAATTAGTGAACTGTTGGAATCATGGAAATATAATGATTATTCTAATTCTATAGTTGGAAGCACCTGTCACGATCGTCTAATGAGGAGGACCAATGCGCAGCGTTGAAGGTGAACATGACTTTATTAAATTAAAGCCGAAACACGAAAACAACAAACAATGACGAAACGTGAAGTCCTCCGTTACAATGACTGACAAGGAACAAAAACCCACAACCCCAAGGTGAACAATGACAGTTTAAATATGGCTCCCAATCAGAGATAACGAGCCGACAGCTGACACTCGTTACCACTGATTGGGAGTCACTGGACCAAACAATGAAACACAACCAAATACAACACAACCAAATGAACACACCCTGGCTCAAAATACACAGTCCCGGAGCCAGAGCGTGACAGTACCCCCCCCTAAAGGCGCGGACTCCGACCGCGCCTACACCCCAAATAGGGAAGGGCTGGGTGGGTATTGTTCCTCGGAGGCGGCTCCGGCTCCGGGCTTGACCACCACCCTATTACAATCCCCCCGTAGTGCCCCCAGTCCGATCTGACCCAGTTAGCTGGATCAGGACTGCCGACGCGCACCCCTGGCTTGGCGCGTGAGGCAGGAATGGACCGGACCTGGCAGACGATACGCACCCTTTGCATGGTGCGTGGAGCCGGAACAGGCCTCACCAGGCTGAAGACTCGCATCCCTGGCTTGGTGCGAGTAGCAGGAATGGGCCGAATCCGGCTGACGACTCGCACCCTTGGCTTGGTGCGAGTAGCAGGAATGGGCTGAATCCGGCTGACGACTCGCACCCTTGGCTTGGTGCGAGTAGCAGGAATGGGCTGAATCCGGCTGACGACTCGCACCCTTGGCTTGGTGCGAGTAGCAGGAATGGGCTGAATCCGGCTGACGACTCGCACCCTTGGCTTGTTGCGAGTAGCAGGAATGGGCCGGACTGGGCTGGCGACGTGCACCACAGACCTGGTGCGGAGAGCAGGAACGGGCAGAGCCGGGCTGACGAGACGCACCACAGGCTTGATGCGGAGAGCAGGCACGGGCAGAGCCGGGGCTGACGACGCACACCACTGGCTTGGTGCGGGAAGCTTGGATGGGCCGGACTGTACTGGGGACACACACCACTGGTCCTACACCGGGATCTGGAACGGGCCGGACCGGACTGGCAACACACGCCAGTACCTCTCGCCGTGCCTCTACTTCCTCCATCCCCTCTTCGACCAGTGGCCCCCGTAACCCGGCGGCCTTCTCCGGCAACCCACTGGGCCGCTCTATCGCGGCCTCCTGCTGGTCCGACGTCGTGAGCCCCCCCCTAAAAATTTTCGGGGCGTCTCTCCTACCCGTGGACCAGGTCTCCATATTGCTCGCCAGCCTCTCGCCCTTCTGCCATAGTGTCAAGCCCTTCTCCTCCTCACTCGGCTTGACCCAGTCCAGGAGGCGAAGGAGATCTGTGAGGGATCTCCCTGGCGACGGCTCCTGGACCCGCTGCTTGGTCCCATCTTGGTGGGTTTTTCTGTCACGATCGTCTAATGAGGAGGACCAATGCGCAGCGTTGAAGGTGAACATGACTTTATTAAATTAAAGCCGAAACACGAAAACAACAAACAATGACGAAACGTGAAGTCCTCCGTTACAATGACTGACAAGGAACAAAAACCCACAACCCCAAGGTGAACAATGACAGTTTAAATATGGCTCCCAATCAGAGATAACGAGCCGACAGCTGACACTCGTTACCACTGATTGGGAGTCACTGGACCAAACAATGAAACACAACCAAATACAACACAACCAAATGAACACACCCTGGCTCAAAATACACAGTCCCGGAGCCAGAGCGTGACAGCACCTTGAATACATTGTTTGACATGACAATGAATGAATAAACTAGTGAGGTATTATTGACACGGTAGGAACCACAGTGTTGGTCAGTGTTTCCAAGTGACCCTAATAAGATGTTACATTACATGTTTTCTTATTTCATGTAGCTAGCTAGCTAACAAACATATTCATGCTTCGCCTGTTCCTCTCTGTTAAGATACCGTTTCACAAACATGCTTATCTAGGCCTAAACCAGTACTGGTACCAGGCAGTATTAGCTAACTAGCTATGTTTGCTCTAACTCTTAGCTGTCTAGCTAGCTTTCTAAATGTACTAACTAGCGATTAGCATTAGCGGCAAAATATATATATATTTTAGCAACACCTTGCTAAGAAAAGACAAACTAGCAAACAGTAGTTTGCAGACAGTGAGATACACAAACTAATTGTGTAATTATAGAACGCTTGTGGAAAGCAGCATTTCACCAACATTGGTGCATCCATCTGACCAGGCAGAGTGAAAGGCAAGAAATTGTTCAGTGACTCCGTGGTCGAGCAACTGCTCTCTCCTTGAGTGACAGGGGGCAGGGCTTGGCGTGGTTAGCGACATGCAGCAGCAGGAGAAGGAGCGAGATTACTCAAGTAACAAACGAGTAAACAATTAAAACGGACAGAGTTGCGTATCACATTTAACAAATCAAACATTGAAATACCGTTATAGAAGGTAAAGTAAAAACTCAAACTGGTCCGTGAATCAATACCGGTATATAGTAAAATACGGTATACCGCCCAGTCCTAGCATACTTCAGTGGGGCTCACACTTTGTTTATAGTCGTCTGCTGTGTGTGTGTGTGTGTCCCCAACCATTTCCTCTGAAAACACACATCTCTTTCTGCTGGTAATACACAGTGTTCTCATGCCTCTGGGTAATTCCTGTAGTAGCTGTTTTTGTTCTCAATCATGAAGAGAGATGGCAACGTTAATAGTTTTATCCATACTGAAGTACCACACTGGATCTTGTAGATAAAGTGCCTGCTTCTTCAAATACCCAATTCGAGATGGAAAACAAACATGTAGCCGTATACACATACATAAACACACACACTCACACATGCACACACTGATGTGAGTTCACAGAAATATCAATGTGTCTGGATGGAATAAGATCAGGTGATGCTGGTCACACCTGGGCATCCTCGTCCGGCATCCTTGTTGAGTCTTACCTCACTGACAGTAAGGCAGGGTGTATGTGACTTGGTATTTTATTAGGATCCCTATTAGCTGTTGCAAAAGCAGCAGCTACTCTTTCTGGGGTCCACACAAAAAATGAAACATGGCATAATACAGAACATTAATAGACAAGAACAGAACTATGTAGCCTACATATCAATACATACACACAAACTATCTAGGTCAAATAGGGGAGAGGCGTTGTGCCGTGAGGTGTTGCTTTATCTGTTTTTTGAAACCAGGTTTGCTGTTTATTTTAGCAATATGAGATAGAATGGAGTATGCATGCAATAATGGCTCTATATAATACTGTATGCTTTCTTGAATTTGTTCTGGATTTGGGGACTGTGAAAAGACCCCTGGTGGCATGTCTGGTGGGGTAAGTGTGTGTGTCATAGAGAGAGAGAGAGGGAGACATACACTCGAGATTCAGTACACTCAGTACACGCTTACCTCTTTAAATTTAAACCTGGAGCCTCTCTCGCTCTTTCGTTCTCTCTGACTGGCATGTCTGTAAAAACGCACATGCATGCAAACACACTTACAGACACAGAACCAAGGTTACCCACACTCAAGACACTCCACACCGTAGCTCTCATGGCTTTATTAGTTATTATGGCGATGTAAGGGTCTATTATACTAAAATGCACCCGTTATCCCAGAGGTACAATCTTACTGCACCACACCCCGTTCTAAAGAGTTCCCCAGATGTACTGGAGTCTGTTGTTTGGTGATGGGACTGTGTGTCATGCATATTTGACCTACAGTAATAAGTGTTTGGGTGTGTTTTCCTTCTGAAAGTACTGTCTGACTGAACGCTCTCGCAGACGTCTCGCTCTTAGTCATTTCTCTACTCAGGGCACATATTCATAAATTGTCTCAGAGTAGCAGTGCTGATCTTGGATCCGTTTTTCCTTTCCGATCATAATGAACACAATTACATTGACGATTACATACTGTTTTCCTGGAGTCATTTTGGACCAATGCTAATTGCTAAATAGGGTAACTCTTATACCCAGTGTTATAATGCACCATGGATCCTAATAGGTATTTATAAGTGTATTCATACATTATAAACAGGTGGCTCATAGAAAACGATATGGTAAAGAGTTTGTGTAAACCTACTGTTCACTACTACTGTCCTAATGAACTCCTACTGTTCACCAGGTCATAAATGGCAGTGTAAGTGTAATTAAGGTGACTCATAGACAGTGTTACGGTAAAGAGTCATGGACATTGTGTAGCTAGCTATACAGATAGTTCACATTTGTTTTGACTGTGAGGACCTTAATCCTTACTTGTCCTAGTTGTCCTACCTAGCTGAACAGGGTTTACCAGTGTTAGGACACGGGCACTCTATGGGAAGTATGTGAGTAACGCTGCTGACTACTGTTTGTCATGGCATTCAGAAACAGTGGTACATTTCCATCATATTCCTCCTCTCCCACCCTGAGGGGAAAGGTGTCTCCTCCCTCCATTTCTGTCCTTTCTTTCTATCTGCAGTATTTTTAATACTTGGAGGAAGAGTAAAGTCTCTATCCTTTTGACACCTTAACATGATGCATGTTAAGGTGTCAAAGTTACAGTTCATATAAGAAAATCAGTCAATTGAAATAAATTCATTAGGCCCTAATCTATGGATTTCACATGACTGGGAATACAGATATGCATCTGTTGGTCACATATACCTTTAAAAAAAGGTAGGGGCGTGGATCAGAAAACCAGTCAGTATCTGGTGTGACCACCATTTGTCTCATGCAGCGCGACACATCTCCTTCGCATAGAGTTGATCAGGCTGTTGATTGTGGCCTGTGGAATGTTGTCCCACTCCTCTTCAATGGCTGTGAGAAGTTGCAGGATTTGGGCGGGAACTGGAACACACTGTCGTACACGTTGATCCAGAGCATCCCAAACATGCTCAATGGGTAGCATGTCTGAATATGCAGGCCATGGAAGAACTGGGACATTTTCAGCTTCCAGGAATTGCGACATGGGGCCGTGCATTATCATGCTGAAACATGAGGTGATGGCGGCGGATGAATGGAACGACAGTGTGCCCTCAGGATCTCGTCAGGGTATCTCTGTGCATTCAAATTGCCATCGATAAAATGTAATTGTGTTCGTTGTCCGTAGCTTATGCCTGCCCATACCATAACCCCACCGCCATCTTGGGGCACTCTGTTCACAACGCTGACATCAGTAAACCACTCGCCCACACGACGCCATACATGCTGTCTGCCATCTGTCCGGGACAGTTGAAACCAGGATTCATCCGTGAAGAGCACACTTCTCCAGCGTGCCAGTGGCCATTGAAGGTGAGCATTTGCCCACTGAAGTCGGTTACGACGCCAAACTACAGTCAGGTCAAGACCCTGGTGAGAACAACGAGCATGCAGATGTTCTTCCCTGAGATAGTTTCTGACAGTTTATGCAGAATTTTTTCGGTTGTGCAAACCCACAGTTTCATCAGGTGTCCGGGTGGCTGGTCTCAGACGTTCCCACAGGTGAAGAAGCCAGATGTGCAGGTCCTCTGCTGGCTTGCTTACGCGTGGTGTAAGGCCGGTTGGATGTACTGCCAAATTCTCTAAAACGAGAAATGATAGAGAAATGAACATTCAATTCTCTGGCAACAGCTCTGGAGGATATTCCTGCAGTCAGCATGTCAATTGCACGTTCCCTCAACTTGAGACATACAGTACCAGTCAAAAGTTTGGATACACCTACTCATTCCAGGGTTTTTCTTTATTTTTACTATTTTCTACATTGTAGAATAATAGTGAAGACATCAAAACTATGAAATAGCACATATGGAATCATGTAGTAACAAAAAAACGTGTTAAACAAATCAAAATATATTGTATATTTGAGATTCTTCAAAGTAGCCACCCTTTGCCTTGATGACAGCTTTGCACATTATTGGTATTGTCTCAACCAGCTTCATGAGGTAGTCACCTGGAATGCATTTCAATTAACAGGTGTGCCTTGTTAAAAGTAAATTTGTGGAATTTCTTTCCTTCTTAATGCGTTTGAGCCAATCAGTTATGTTGTGACAAGATAGGGGTGGTATACAGAAGATAGCCCTATTTGGTAAAAGACCAAGTCCATATTATGTCAAGAACAGCTCAAATAAGCAAAGAGAAACGACAGTCCATCATTACTTTAAGACATGAAGGTCAGTCAATCTGGAACATTTCAAGAACTTTGAATGTTTCTTCAAGTGCAGTCGCACAAAAACCATCAAGCGCTATGATGAAACTGGCTCTCATGAGGACCGCCACAGGAAAGGAAGACCCAGAGTTACCTCTGCTGCAGAGGATAAGTTCATTAGAGTTAACTGCACCTCAGATTGCAGCCCAAATAAATGCTTCACAGAGTTCAAGTAACAGACACATCTCAACATGAACTGTTCAGAGGAGACTGCGTGAATCAGGCCTTCATGGTCGAATTGCTGCAAAGAAACCACTACTAAAGGACCGCAGTGGAGAAGGTGGAAAGCTTCAAGTTCCTTGGCGTACACATCACTGACAACCTGAAATGGTCCACCCACGCAGACAGTGTGGTGAAGAAGGCTGCAACAGAGCCTCTTCAACCTCAGGAGGCTGAAGAAATTTAGCTTGGCACCTAAAACCCTCACAAACTTTTACAGATGCACAATTGAGAGCATCCTGTCGGGCTGTATCACCGCCGGGTACGGCAACTGCCCCGCCCACAACCGCAGGGCTCTCCAGAGGGTGGTGCGCTCTGCCGAACGCATTACCGGGGGCAAACTACCCACCCTCTAGGACACCTACAGCACCGGATGTCACAGGAAGGCCAAAAAGATCATCAAGGACATCAACCACCCTAGCCACTGCCTGTTCACCCAGCTATCATCCAGAAGGTGAGGTCAGTACAGGTGCATCAAAGCTGGGACCGAGAGAATGAAAAACAGCTTCTATCTCAAGGCCATCAGACTGTTAAATAGCCATCACTAGCACATTAGAGGCTGCTGCTGCCTATTGAAATCACTGGCCACTTTAAGAAATGGAACACTAGTCACTTTAATAATGTTTACATATCTTGCATTACTTGTCTCATATGTATATACTGTATTCTATAATATTCTACTGTATCTTAGTCCATGGCGCTCTGTCATTGCTTGTCCATATATGTATACATTCTTAATTCCATTCCTTACTTAGATTTGTGTGTATTGGGTATATGTTGAGAAATTGTTAGATATTACTTGTTAGTTATTACTGCACTGTCGGAGCTAGAAGCACAAGCATTTCGCTACACACGCAATAACATCTGCTAAACACGTGTATGTGACAAATAAAATGAAATTTGATTTGATTTGATAAGAAGAAGAGACTTGCTTGGGCCAAGAAACACGAGCAATGGACATTAGACCGTTGGAAATCTGTCTTTTGGTCTGATGAGTTCAAATTTAAGAATTTTGGTTCCAACCACAGTGTCTTTGTGAGACGCAGAGTAGGTGAACAGATCACCGACAACGACAATGATGAGACAGCCTATAGGAGGTCAGAGACCTGGCCATGTGGTGCCAGGATAACAACTTCTCCCTCAACATGATCAAGACAAAGGAGATGATTGTGGACTACAGGAAAAGGCGGACAGAGCACGCCCCCATTCTCATCTACGGGGCTGTAGTGTAGCAGGTTGAGAGCTTCAAGTTCCTTAGTGTCCACATCGCCAACAAACTATCATGGTCCAAACACACCAAGACAGTCGTGAAGAGGACACGACAAAGCCTATTCCCCCTCAGGAGACTGAAAATATGCGTACGGCCCAGTACATCACTTGAGCCAAACGTCCTGCCATCCAGGACCTCTATACCAGGCGGTGTCAGAGGAAGGCCCTAAAAATTGTCAAAGACTCCAGCCACCCTAGTCATAGACTGTTCTCTCTGCTACCGCACGGCAAGCGGTACCGGAGCGCCAAGTCTAGGTCCAAAAGGCTTTTTAACAGCTTCTATCACCAAGCCATAAGACTCCTGAACAGCTAATCAAATGGCTACCTGGACTATTTGCAAAGCACCCCATCCCCCACCCACCCCCTCTTTTACGCTGCTGCTACTCTCTGTTTATTATTTATGCATAGTCACTTTAACTCTACCTACATTTACATATCACCTCAATTACCTAGTCTAACCTGTGCCCCCACATATTGACTGGTGTGGGGGTGCTTTGCTGGTGACACTGTCAGTGATTTATTTAGAATTCAAGGCAAACTTAACCAGCATGGCTACCACAGCATTCTGCAGCGATACGCCTATCCCATCTGGTTTGGGCTTAGTGGGACGATCATTTGTTTTTCAACAGGACAATGACCCAACACACCTCCAGGCTGGGTAAGGGCTATTTTACCAAGCAGGAGAGTGATAGAGTGCTGCATTAGGTGACCTGGCTGCCACAATCCCTCGACCTCAACCCAATTCAGATGGTTTGAGATGAGTCGGACGGCAGAGTGAAGGAAAAGCAGCCAACAAGTGCTCAGCATATGTGAGAACTCCTTGAAGACTGTTGGAAAAGCATTACAGGTGAAGCTGGTTGAGGGAATGCCAAGAGTGTGAAAAGCTGTCATCAAGGCAAAGGGTGGCTATTTGAGTCTCAAATATAAAATATATTTTTATTTGTTTAACACTTTTTTGGTTACTACATGATTCCATATGTGTTATTTCATAGTTTTGATGTTTTCACTATAATAATAATATAATATGCCATTTAGCAGACGCTTTTATCCAAAGCGACTTACAGTCATGTGTGCATACATTTTTACGTATGGGTGGTCCCGGGGATCGAACCCACTACCCTGGCGTTACAAGCGCCATGCTCTACCAATTGAGCTACAGAGGACCTATTATTCTACAACGTAGAAAATAGTAAAAATAAAGAAAAACCCTTGAATGAGTAGGTGTGTCCAATCTTTTTACTGGTAGTGTAAATATATATATCGTTTATTTTAGTTTTTTTCCCCAAACCTTTGACTGGTACTGTATGTGATATTGTTTTGTGTGACATTCCTGCAGTCAGCATGCCAATTGCACGCTCCCTCAAAACACCTGTGGCATTGTGTTGTGTGACAACACTGCACATTTTAGAGTGGTCTTTTATTGTCCCCAGCACAAGGTGCACCTGTGTAATGATCATGCTGTTTAATCATCTTCTTGATATGCCACACCTGTCAGGTGGTTGGATTATCTTAGCAAAGGAGAAATGCTCACTAACAGGGATATAAACACATTTGTGCACCAAATTAGAGCAAAATAAGCTTTTTGTGCATTTGGAAAATTTGTGGGATCTTTTATTTCAGCTCATGGACCATGGGACTAACATTTTACATGTTGCGTTTATATTTTTGTTCAGTATAATATGGCCCCTTTTTGTCCTGGGAATTTAGCTAACATTATGGGCAATATTTGTCATGATTGGTCACAGCCAGGTTCTCTTCCATCAATGCACTATACATTATTTATAACTACTAACAAACACTAACTACACACAAACGTGTCATGACTATTCCTGACTAAAATAAGGAACAACAATTCATGAACATAAGGATTCGACAAGTAGTTAACCTTGATGCCCACTAAATGTTCATTCAATAACCTGTGACTCAGAATAAGATTTTTGTGGGACATGACTCTGAGTTTGGTTTTATTGTCTTGCACTTTCTGGCTAAATGTAGCCTTGTTTCTGGTAAAAACTCGATAGATTTGACAAATTCACGTATATGACTCAAATGCCTTTGCCACACAATGTTCTAATCCCCTCTTCTCCCCCTCACTTCCTTCATTCTTTCGTTATTTTGTGGCTGTCTTACTTTCTTCACATTCTCTCTTTCATCTCCTTTTTGGACAGTGGCCAAGACCCTTTGAGCAGGATGACATGAAGTGTGACTGTTATTCTAAATTCAAGTACATAATACATACACATGTGGACAAACTCTCAACACACAAACTTTACATACACTGAATCTCATTATCTGACAATGAATTGCCTGATGTAAGGACTGGACATGATGTGCTATGACTAGATAGTAGATACTCTCTTACACTTGATAATCAGCCAGTATTTTGTTTTGATCTAATCTAGTTGTTCATTGTCCTGAATCATCTAAATACTTGGACAGAGACCAGGTGTGGGATATGGTTGTTGTTATGGTGTTTGTTTGTGTGTGTGTGTGTGTGTGTGTGTGCGTGCGTGCGTGCATGCGTGTGTGTTTTTATCACACAAGTCTAGACTATTCCATGGGGTCAGTCATCCCTTTTCAAGTGTGTCCCGGCACAGACATCTGCATGGGGGCATTGACTGGGCAGTGAAAAGAAACAACACAAAATAAAGAGAGAGTAAAAGAGAGGACATAAAGGGAGAAGGTGAGAGTCATGGCAGGGTTTTCTATGTGTTGTTTTTTGTCCCAATAGCAGGGACAGTCCGCAGACCAATTAACGAACTTCAGTCTGGACCTTAGAATTCAGCACCTCAGCTTCGGTTCTTTCCTGGTTTACCCGTTCTCCAATCTAACAAATAAAGCCTTGGATCCTCATAACTAATCATCTCTCTCTTTCTTTTTCCTCTCTTCCTCCCTCCCTCTCTCCATAGTGGATGGGCTAATCCCTCGCGAGGCTTCGTCACCCCTCTTAGCCGGTGCGGCCCATGGACCTGCATACCCAGGGGCTGGTGCGACCCGGGCCGGACTCAGCCATGCTGGCCCCCCACCTTCCCCCATTCCTGGGGGCCTTCTCAGCCCAGCACTGTGCCAAGTACTCCCAGCAGCACCTGCCACAGCACATCCAGGTGAGCATCCCTTCCATAGAGATGGATAGAGGGCACACTTCCAACATAGCCTGCTTTAAAATGTAAATAGCCCACAACTGCACTGCCCAAGCTGTCACAGAAGCGACCAATGGCAAAGATAGGAGGTGTGCCCTCTTTCCATATGATCCCTCTCTTTCCATTGACTGATATCACTTCCTAAATATAATCTTCACTGCACCCAAATTAATTGAAATGTTAATGGTCTCGTTTCAGTACGAGTATGACATGGAGCAGAGTTGGCAGGAGAAAGAGCAGGAGAAGAGAATGGAGCTGCAGCAGCTGATGCACAAGGATAAAAGCGAGCAGAGTAAGTTACAGCGCCCCCTTGCCCTGTGGAGGACAAATGGCATGCAATAGAAATGAGTGCAACGTTATCAGTATGTTATGTATAAGGGATTGCTTACAGTACCATGTAAACTATGCTAACCATGTCATCTTTTTAGAAATGCAATGTATGATGACAGCTGTGCGGTCTTGTAGGTAGTGTAGGTGTTTGTGTGCATGGGTTTCGGTTGTTTATTTTGGATGCCCCAATATGATCCTCAGAATGTTGTTGTCTGGAACAGATGGAGTTCCTTAAGTTTAGTCACAGTCTATTTTCACATGAAACCTAAATCAAAAAAAGGAAGCAATTCACATGGAGCACTTAATAATTGTACAATGTCATGTTGTTTGTTGTCTTTTACTTTCGGGAAGGAAGTGCCTATTAAAGAATGCGACCAAGCAATCTGTCAATCACCAAATTCCTAAGAACCTGCCCTTCAAAGTTCAGCTTCAATAACTGGTCCTTGTATAACTTGCATTATGCAAGTCATAGCAGTCAGACATTTGTCTGACTGTTGTCTGACTGGTAATTACAAGGGAAATGCCTAGCATCTTTCCTCTTTTTCTAATATTGAAATCTTAGGTAGGCGCATTGAATACTCAGCTTTGATAATCAGAAATAGAGGTAGATTATAGATTTTTGACTCATAGTGAAACTGCTTGTCAGTTATTATACAATACAGATAAAATTGGTATATTTGAATATATTGTTTATATCCCACCGCTAACACCAATAGATCAAGATTCAGTCAGCTTAGAATGCTGCACCTAGCATTGGTTAATTCCCAGGTTCTTGTCTCTGATTGGGTGACTCTGTTGACGGACAGGTGCTGTGGCCAGTCCCCTGGTGAAACAGAAACTCAGAAGCGAAATCCTGAAGAGGAAGGAGCAGGCCGCCCTGGAGAGGACCGCCTCCAACCCCTCCAGCAGCACCACACCCAGGGGTTACAGGTGAGAGACGACCCAGTAAAGACTTCGATTCAAACTGTGACTTCGAGAGAGAGCTGAGTGCACTCATGAAAATACACTGTTATTAGACTCCCATGGCTTTGGTGGGACTACCATCTTGTTCTTTTCACCTTTCCAATCTTGTCCCACAAATTATCCTCATAAGAGATGGAAGTAAGAAAGATTTACCTCTGACAATTTGGATAAGTCTGAGTGACTCATTAGATTAGGTGATAAGCCTGGCTGACTGACTCACTGACTTGTATCTATGGCTGTGCCACAAGTCAATCAATCAATCAATTTTATTTTATATAGCCCTTCTTACATCAGCTAATATCTCGAAGTGCTGTACAGAAACCCAGCCTAAAACCCCAAACAGCTAGTAATGCAGGTGTAGAAGCACCACAAGTGAAGCATTATTTCACAAAACAATACTTTACTGTCCATTTTCATCAACATTATTGTTGTGAGCTCACCAGTACATACACAAAATTGATACAGCACAATACAATAAACACTTAACAATGATTGTTCATGGTTTTGGTGGATGACTCTCAACTGGCTGTGTTGATTGCATAGGGAATTGGCCCAAGATCCTGACATGACCACAAAGCCTCACATGGTGACCCCTGCTGTCCATCATCCACTATGTGACCAACGCAAGGACATGCCCCTCAGAAGAACAGGTGAGTAATGTTTTTCTATGTAGTTTGTACTTTCTTTGTCGAGACATTTGTACTTTGTACAGTACCGTTACAACAAGATCATTTCCCGTTCTCACTATGGTGTCATTGTAAACAATATGCAGTTGACTCCTGACAATGGTTTGGGTCTGCCATCAATGATGAGCTAAACTGGAGCATAGGAGTGCTGATCTAAGATCGGTTTTGCCTTTTAGTACATAATGAATAAGATTACATGGATAGGGGGGACCTGATCCTAGCACTCATATTCTGAGACACTTTATGAATACCGGCCTAGATCTGCAGAGCAAATTAATGTACTACATGCCTTTAACACAGAGTAGGTAGCGCTTGAGAAGGCAGTACAGATTCAAGTTAAAGGGAGCCATATTACATTACTCCCATTTGTAGTTGTTGGGTGAGTTATGCAGTTAGATACACGTTAACACACATATACTGAACACTGATGTAGAGCCAGAGACACAGTAGGAGTCACCAAGCCTACAAGGCAGGCGAAAGAACACCAGAGGGTGAAATTACGAGAGAGAGAGAGAGAGAGAGGAGAGAGAGAGGGTGAGACTGTGAGAGAAAGACCAAAAGCCATTACATAACTAAAGTATGTGTAAAATGAACCTCGTGTGAGAATCTCAGGCATGTCTGTCTGACTGACTGGGTGTATGAATGATGTACGGATATAGAGATGAATAGAGGCCAAACTTGCCGTGGTCACAGAAGTTAACAATTGCAAAGATAGTAGGTGTGGCCTCTTTCCATTATATGCATAAGTACTACTAAGGAGTGGTCCCTACTAACTATGTCACCTTGGAGGACTATTGCAATGCCATTATTTACCTGTGTTATCCTAGCAGCATTGGCCATTCGCGGCTACACACCCCTCTGTCTACGTATTGAAATCCGACAACAATACCATACTGTCATCGACGTCTTTTGTCTGTGCTAAGCCGCTCGCTGATTGATCGTTTAGTTAGGCCTATTGTGGTCAATGCCAAAGTAAACATGAAACTTTAGGCGCTGCTGTCAACTTTTCTGTTATTTGTTCAGCTGTGCTGTAGAAGAGCTTCGGGGTTTTGTTATGTAAAAGGAATTGGTTTATGACGAGTTAGCACATTATGGATTTGTAGCCATTTCTATTGGCCAGGGTATGTAGTGATTTTGCTCAGCATTTATGTAGTCAAAGTCGATTTACTTTTTTTGTTTAATACTGTTGGGGTCTGTTATAGAATGGCGAAGGTGCATAAAGACGGAGGAATTCAGATATTACGTCATTGTTTTTACACTACCCACATAGTTGTTAAACTACGGTGTGCATCATGGTTCAATGTGCCAGTAATCTCGGCACAATCTACTTTTTAGTTTTTTTTAAATGCTGCCGTCTTGGAGCTAGAATTGGGATCATTCCGATACAAAAAAAAGAGTAACGGAGGGCAATGTACAATATAGCGAACTTAGCAAACAAAGCATTTGTGGTAAGTACATGGGGGCCACCATCTTTATGCTCCTTTGCCATTGTCTTGGATTGGCCAAACTCAAAGAACATACATTCTATGTTGTGTGTGTTTGTGTATGTATTTGTGTGTGCTTTTGTGTGCGTGAATGAATGAATGTGTGTGTGTGTGCATGTGTGTGTGTGTTCAGCCTCGGAGCCCCTCTTGAAGGTGAAGAGAAAACTGAAGAAGCACATCAACTCCAGACAGAACCCTCTCCAACGCAAGACCAGCGCTCCGCCTACTGTCAAGCACAGAACACCGGACCCTCTGGGTAACGTAGTCCTTCCTGCCTCGTTGTGTCCACTTTCTATCAAACCAGCCTCTTATGATATCTCTTCCTGGTGCTGTAGCCACAGTGTCTGACCACTTTGGCCTCGGCCTAACTCTAACATACATGGGTCGTATTCATTAGGGCACACCATATAATCATTTTGTTTTGCAGTGGGAAATGTAAACAAGTGTTTCCTATTGGACAATTTCAGGTAGTCCCACCCGGTTTCAGTGTGTTTACGTCCCTATGGTGCCAAATGAATACGACCAGTGATTAGTTTAATCAGGTGTGTTAGTGCTGGGTGGACTAGTCTTTGTGTACCGCCACTAACACACACACACACACACACACATACACACAAAAACTCACATTTAAATATGTTATCCTATATGTAAGTATCTCATTTGCTGATTGGCTATCCCTCCCTTCCATCCTGCAGACTACTCCCCCAGCAGCAGTAGCACTCCAGTGTCGGGGTGCAGCTCGCCCAATGACAGCCTCCTCTCGGACAGCCCACTTACTACCGGACTGGCCCACGAGGTGAGCCCCTCTCAACCCCCCTCCCCCCTCCTCCCTTCGCCCTTCGCCCCTCTCTACTCCAACCCCACTGTAGTCCCAAGTACAGTGTAAGTAATAATAATAATAATATGCCATTTAGCAGACGCTTTTATCCAAAGCGACTTACAGTCATGCGTGCATACATTTTTGTGTATGGGTGGTCCCGGGGATCGAACCCACTACCTTGGCGTTACAAGCGCCGTGCTCTACCAGTTGAGCTACAGAGGACCACATTGTAACAATGAGTAATTACAATTCTGTTAACTATAAGAATAATGTCACAGTAAAAATGATCACACTAATGTTAAGTGTGACCCAGTTTTTGTATATGTTAGTGTTTGGAGGAAAAAAAAGAGTCACCAGGAATTCAGCTAAAACTGAGTTTAATTTATGGAAATCTGTTCCGAAGTATTCACATGAATAAAAAAAGAGACGTGATCGTGTCTTCATGTAATCATCAACAGAATAAACACACTCCATACTTGATTGAGCCATTTCGTACCACACACAATGTCCCATTCACTACCACATTGGCACACACTAGATACAGGATCAACAGTTGTTTCAGAATCTCAGTATAAGAACAACATGAATGTCAGGGCCAGAATTGGTTTTGGATTGCCACAAAGTTTAGTGAAGTGTGTGTGTTCCGGTTTAAAATAACTGTATTAGCTTTAAATGGTGTTCAACATGTTTCCTCCCATGGAATTGTATTTCTTTACTATGACAGATATGTAATGGTGTGATGAGTGTGATAGAAGGAGTCAGGCGCAGGAGGGTAATCACAGAATACAGAGTTTAATCCGTCTTTACACAAAATGCGCTGGATAGCGACAAACGAAACAGGCGCAGGGGAAAATATCTACCCCGGCAACAAATAGGTACGAGTAGCTCCACCGAGCTACACTACTCTCACATAATAACAATCACCCACAAGGACACGGGGGCAGAGGGAACACTTATACACAGACTAATGAGGGGATAAGAACCAGGTGTGTGTAATGACAAGACAAGACAAATGGAATGATGAATATAGGAGCAGCAGTAGTTAGTAAGCCGGTGACGACGAGCGCCGAAGCCTGCCCAAACAAGGAGGGGAGGCAGCCTCGGCGGAAGTCGTGACAAATGGGCATCAAAGATATGTCATATCCTTGAAGACTGTCCATAACAAATATTTAATGGGAAGGGGTGTGGAGTTAGAGAACACATTTGGGAATGTTTTCATTGAATAAGGGCTGATCGAATAACATGGCAGTACAGTTGTCCAGATGTCTGTTCCTGTTCTCTCTCTCTCCCTCTCTTCAATAGGCCTGTTTAAAACATTTGGCCACCCGACTGTACTGTACCATGACCCGTTACATATTAACATTGGATTCATGTTCAAATGACAGCCCTTTTCAGTTTCCCAAGAACATGTTGTAAAATGATTTTCTACCACTCAGATTTCAGCAATCTGACGCTTTTTCTGTTACACTTATACTACACACAGCAAATTCTCCAGTGTTAAATCAACACCGAAAGTGTGGACCTGTATAGATACTGGAACAGTGTTAAATTAACACACTGCCTAGTGTAAAGACTTATTTGCATATTTCCCATAGTGCCTTGCCTTTCGAGTGAATTGTAGAGTTACTAACAATGACTCTATTTGTTAGTGACAGAGACATGGTTGTTGCATTCATCCATTTTCAGTCATGTGGAGTTCACCAAGTGAGATCCGAAGCAAATATGTTAACATTAAAATTACATTTTTTAACACAATACAATACAATATTTCATAAGGCCTTATTTTGAGCGCCTAGTTTTATTCTAATACAGTGGCCTGAAACTCATTGTATACAGGCCACAACAGGCCTGTATACCATTGTTCTAGCATGCAAAGTGATGTGTAATTCCTATTGGAATCCAGCTAGAGTGGGGATATCCAACCTTTGGAATTTTTAATCACCTGCAACTAGGGCTGTGACAGTCATGGAATTTTGAACGACGGTTATTTGTTGATTCAACTCAATTGAAATTACATTGCATGAGCCACATCAGTTAGCATCATTTGAATGAACATTCTACATTACCATGGAAATTATTGCATCACAATACCAGGCAACCATTGCGAGTGTACCCATGAGTTTACCAGTCAAATTGCCAGGATTAGAGGTTCCAAGCTCGTTCTAGTCATTCCATTAAATGTGTGCTGCTGCAGGGAGGGGGGGGTGTTGCCTAGGCAACCGGAAGCTCTTATGCTATAACACCTTGCTTGTTTCAGCAAGGAGCAACAAAGTTTCATCACGTTTGTAAGAGTCCATGTTACCGCGCAGCGGCGTCACTACAGACCTCGGTTCGATCCTGGGCTGTGTCGCAGCCGGCCGCGACAGGGATACCCATGAGGCGGCGCACAATTGGCCCAGCGTTGTCCGGTTTAGGGGAGGGTTTGGCCGGGCCGGAATGTCCTTGTCCCATCGCGCTCTAGCGACTCCTGTGGTGGGCCGGGCGCATGCACGCTGACACGGTCACCAGTTGTACGGTGTTTCCTCCGACACATTGGTGCGGCTGGCTTACGGGTTAAGCGAGCAGTGTGTCAAGAAGCAGTGCGGCTTGGCAGGGTCATGACGCATGGCTCTGGGCGTTCACCTCTCCCGAGTCCGTACGGAGTTGCAGCAATGGGACAAGACAGTAACTACCAATTGGATATCCCGAAATTGGGGAGAAAAAGGGGTAAAAAAGGTAAAAGGAAAGAACCGCACAAATGCCCGGCCATCCCATCTTCAGTCAGATGTTCATGAAAAAAACTAAAATAAACTATATATATATTTACACTACCAGTAGGTGTGTCCAAACGTTTTACTGGTAGTGTAAATTCAAGGGTTTTTCTTAATATGTTTTTATTTTTTTACATTGTAGAATTATAGTGAAGACATCAAAACTATGAAATAACACATATGGAATCATGTAATAACTGAAAAAGTGTTAAACAAATCAAAATATATTTTATATTTGAGATTCTTCAAATAGCCACCCTTTGCCTTGATGACAGCTTTGGTTACTACATGATTCCCTATGTGTTACTTCATAATTTTGATATCTTTAATATTATTCTACAATGTAAAAAATAGAAAAGATAAAGAAAAACCCTTGAATGATTAGGTGTGTCCAAACTTTTGTCTGGTACTGTATATAAATGCAACATGTAAAGTGTTGGTCCCATCTTTCGTGAGCATTTCTCTTTTGCCAATTAAACAGCATGATCATTACACAGGTGCACCTTGTGCTGGGGACAATAAAAGGCCACTCTAAAATGTGCAGTGTTGTCACACAACACAATGCCACAGGTGTTTTGAGGGAGCGTGCAATTGGCATGCTGACTGCAGGAATGTCCACCAGAGCTGTTGCCAGAGAATTGAATGTTATTTTCTCTACCATAAGCTGCCTCCAACGTTGTTTTAGAGAATTTGGCAGTACGTCCAACCGGCTTCACAACCGCAGACCACGTGTATGACGTCGTGTGGGCGAGCGGTTTGCTAATGTTAACGTTGTGAACAAAGTGCCCCTTGGTGGCGGTGGGATTATGGTATGTGCAGGCATAAACCACGGACAACAAACACAATTGCATTTTATCGATGGCAATTTGAATGCACAGAAATACCGTGATGAGATCCTGAGGCCCATTGTGAGGCCCATTTTTTTTAAAGGTATCTGTGACCAACAGATGCATATCTGTATTCTCAGTCATGTGAAATCCATAGATAAGGGCCTAATGAATTTCTTTCAATTGACTGATTTCCTTATATGAACTGTAACTATGTAAAATCGTTGTAATTGTTGCTTGTTGCGTATATATTTTTGTTCAGTGTATACAGTGGGGAGAACAAGTATTTGATACACTGCTGATTTTGCAGGTTTTCCTACTTACAAAGCATGTAGAGGTCTGACATTTTTATCATAGGTACACTTCAACTGTGAGAGACGGAATCTCAAACAAAAATCCAGAAAATCACATTGTATGATTTTTAAGTAATGAATTTGCATTTTATTGCATGACATAAGTATTTGATCACCTACCAACCAGTAAGAATTCCGGCTCTCACAGACCTGTTAGTTTTTCTTTAAGAAGCCCTCCTGTTCTCCACTCATTACCTGTATTAACTGCACCTGTTTGAACTCGTTATCTGTATAAAAGACACCTGTCCACACACTCAATCAAACAGACTCCAACCTCTCCACAATGGCCAAGACCAGAGAGCTGTGTAAGGACATCAGGGATAAAATTGTAGACCTGCACAAGGCTGGGATGGGCTACAGGACAATAGGCAAGCAGCTTGGTGAGAAGGCAACAATTGTTGACGCAATTATTAGAAAATGGAAGAAGTTCAAGATGACGGTCAATCACCCTCGGTCTGGGGCTCCATGAAAGATCTCACCTCGTGGGGCATCAATGATCATGAGGAAGGTGAGGGTTCAGCCCAGAACTACACGGCAGGACCTGGTCAATGACCTGAAGAGAGCTGGGACCACAGTCTCAAAGAAAACCATTAGTAACACACTACGCCGTCATGGATTAAAATCCTGCAGCGCACGCAAGGTCCCCCTGCTCAAGCCAGCGCATGTCCAGGCCCGTCTGAAGTTTGCCAATGACCATCTGGATGATCCAGAGGAGGAATGGGAGAAGGTCATGTGGTCTGATGAGACAAAAATAGAGCTTTTTGGTCTAAACTCCACTCGCCGTGTTTGGAGGAAGAAGAAGGATGAGTACAACCCCAAGAACACCATCCCAACCGTGAAGCATGGAGGTGGAAACATCATTCTTTGGGGATGCTTTTCTGCAAAGGGGACAGGACGACTGCACCGTATTGAGGGGAGGATGGATGGGGCCATGTATCGCGAGATCTTGGCCAACAGCCTCCTTCCCTCAGTAAGAGCATTGAAGATGGGTCGTGGCTGGGTCTTCCAGCATGACAACGACCCGAAACACACAGCCAGGGCAACTAAGGAGTGGCTCCGTAAGAAGCATCTCAAGGTCCTGGAGTGGCCTAGCCAGTCTCCAGACCTGAACCCAATAGAAAATATTTGGAGGGAGCTGAAAGTCCGTATTGCACAGCGACAGCCCCGAAACCTGAAGGATCTGGAGAAGGTCTGTATGGAGGAGTGGGCCAAAATCCCTGCTGCAGTGTGTGCAAATCTGGTCAAGACCTACAGGAAACTTATGATCTCTATAATTGCAAACAAAGGTTTCTGTACCAAATATTAAGTTCTGCTTTTCTGATGTATCAAATACTTATGTCATGCAATAAAATGCAAATTACTTACTTAAAAATCATACAATGTGAGATTCCGTCTCACATAGTTTAAGTATACCTATGATAAGAATTACAGACCTCTACATGCTTTGTAAGTAGGAAAACCTGCAAAATCGGCAGTGTATCAAATACTTGTTCTCCCCACTGTATATGTATTCTTATTCCTAAAATAAAACATCTGGTTATGACAGTTAATTAAGTTTCATGACCATTTTCATCCATAACCATCGGTTACACAGTTATACGGTAATTGTGCCAGCTCTAACCGCAACCTACATTCAGAATGACTACAAGGGTTGGGAAAACTATGATATGAAACTACCTAAAGCAACTAAACTGGAACAACCATTTCAGTAACAGATGCAATAAGTCAAAGCAACATATTGGATAAGTTTAGAAAATGTATGTCATTTATAATTGAGTAGCATAAGATTAATTTATCAATGTACATGCAAAAACCTAGATATTGAAACAAACAATTCTAAAAATCAACCTGCAATAGAGCATGCTGGGATATATGATAATGATGGGCGTGGTTTTGTTTCAACTCTAGTATTAACACCAACATTAGGGTTATTTTACACCAATGAGTGTTAATTTAACACTTACAGTGTTAATTGTTATGTTACACTGAAAAATCAACATTAGTTAACACCGGCCAATTTGCTGTGCAGTAATGAAAGTTTCAAACTATTCTAACAGACATTGAATCCCGGAGGACTGAAGTTTGATACCCCAGCAGTTAGTAATTGAGTATATACTACTTAACTGAATCAAGTTCAAATTACTATAGTTGTTTGAGTTAACACCAATTTATTTAAATCAAATCAAATCAAATTGTATTTGTCATATGTGCCAAATGCAACGGGTGTAGACTTTACAGTGAAATGCTTGCTCACGAGCGCTTCCCAATGATGCAGAGCTAAAACATGATAATAAAAATAAATATAGTAACACAAGAGGAATAAAATACACAAGAATGGCGCTATATTCAGGGAGTACCAGATCAATGTGCAGGGGTACAAGCTATTATAGATATGTACATGAAGGCAGGCGAGTTTGGCAGTTATGTTTTACAGTGTGCGTGACCTACTGTGTCCCCTTCCCTCCCTCCCTCAGGCTCAGAGGTTACTGCTCCAGGATGGCACACTGTCCCACTTCACCTTGCCCTGCTCCACCGCCCTGCCCACCATCAGCGCCGGGCTGCCCGCCCAGGGTGACAGGGAGTCGGGTAGCCATCAGAGGGTGGCCAGGGTACTGCCCCAGGTCTACCTGCCCACGGAGGGCCTCAGTGCTGCCCACCTGGCCCACCAATGCCTCCAGCCCCTGCTCATCCTGGAGCCGTCAGTGCTGCTGCACTCACAGCTAGTCACTGGTGAGACACCCACTCATACAGTACATATACAATACAAAACATTAGGTTCTCTTTCCATAACATAGACTGACCAGGTGAATCCAGGTGAAAGCTATGTCACTTAAATCCACTTCATTCCGTGTAGATGAAGGGGAGGAGACAGGTTAAAGAATGATTTTTAACCCTTCAGACAATTGAGACATGGATTGTGTATGTGTGCCATTCAGAGGGTGAATGGGAAAGGACAAAATATTTAAGTGTCTTTGAACGGGGTATGGTAGTAGGTGCAAGGTGCACCTGTTTGTGTGTCAAGAACTGCAATGCTGTTGGGTTTTTCATGCTCAACAGTTTCCCGTTTGTGTATCAAGAAAGGTCCACCACCCAAAGGACACCCAGTTAACCTGACACAACTGTGTGAAGCATTGGAGTCAACATGGGCCAGCATCCCTTTGGAACGCTTTCGACAACTTGTAGAGTCCATGAGGGCAAAAGGGGGTGCAACTCAATATTAGTAGTTCTTAATGTTTTGTACACTCAGTGTAGATATGTATGCAAACTCACACAAACACACACACCACACCTGCAGTCATCCTGGAGCCCTCAGCACAGCTGCACAAGAAGAAAAACACAGTCAGAGCGACACTGCCCTCTATCGATCGTTTGACTGAATGCCACTTACTTATCCTACTGATCTAGGCATGTGGAGCGTTCACTAATGCCCTATCTATAATGGATCTGGTTGATCTGGGAGTGACTAGACAGACCTAGCTAATCGAAACTTTACCCCACAACACTGTCTGCTTCCCCTCTGGTCGTTTTTAGAACGTTTTAGTCACTGTTTCGCCCTCCCTCTCCCTTTCCACGTTCTCCCTCCTTCCTCCCACTCTCTCTCTTTCTCCTCCCTCCCTATCCCTCTTTATGTTCTCCCTCCTTAATTCCTCTCCCTCCCCCTCTCCTCTTTCTCTCTCCCCTTCTCCCCACCTCTCTCCCCTTAAGTGCGAGGCCTGAGCCCAGGCCCTCTCCAGTACCCCTCCTCCAGACTGGAAGGCCTGGCTCCCCTGGGCCCCCACAGACCCCTGGGTCGGACCCGCTCTGAGCCCCCCCTGCACTCTCACCACCACCAGTACCACCAGCACCAGCTAATGCAGCAGTACCACAACGCACTGCTGCTGGAGAGACTCAAACAGAACACACACCTGGGCAAGGTGAGAGAACACACATTTTTTGACACACATTTTAGGGATTGTTGAGCAACACACACATACATGCACACACACACCAAGGTGATCTTAAAGAGGGACATAGACAAAGACACTTACACACACACAGCACAATATACAGTTGAAGTCGGAAGTTTACATACACCTTAGCCAAATACACTGCTCAAAAAAATAAAGGGAACACTTAAACAACACAATGTAACTCCAAGTCAATCACACTTCTGTGAAATCAAACTGTCCACTTAGGAAGCAACACTGATTGACAATAAATGTCACATGCTGTTGTGCAAATGGAATAGACAACAGGTGGAAATTATAGGCAATTAGCAAGACACCCCCAATAAAGGAGTGGTTCTGCAGGTGGTGACCACAGACCACTTCTCAGTTCCTATGCTTCCTGGCTGATGTTTTGGTCACTTTTGAATGCTGGCGGTGCTTTCACTCTAGTGGTAGCATGAGATGGAGTCTACAACCCACACAAGTGGCTCAGGTAGTGCAGCTCATCCAGGATGGCACATCAATGCGAGCTGTGGCAAGAAGGTTTGCTGTGTCTGTCAGCGTAGTGTCCAGAGCATGGAGGCGCTACCAGGAGACAGGCCAGTACATCAGGAGACGTGGAGGAGGCCGTAGGAGGGCAACAACCCAGCAGCAGGACCGCTACCTCCGCCTTTGTGCAAGGAGGAGCAGGTGGAGCACTGCCAGAGCCCTGCAAAATGACCTCCAGCAGACCACAAATGTGCATGTGTCTGCTCAAACGGTCAGAAACAGACTCCATGAGGGTGGTATGAGGGCCCGACGTCCACAGGTGGGGGTTGTGCTTACAGCCCAACACCGTGCAGGACGTTTGGCATTTGCCAGAGAACACCAAGATTGGCAAATTCGCCACTGGCGCCCTGTGCTCTTCACAGATGTAAGCAGGTTCACACTGAGCACATGTGACAGATGTGACAGAGTCTGGAGACGCCGTGGAGAACGTTCTGCTGCCTGCAACATCCTCCAGCATGACCGGTTTGGCGGTGGGTCAGTCATGGTGTGGGGTGGCATTTCTTTGGGGGGCCGCACAGCCCTCCATGTGCTCGCCAGAGGTAGCCTGACTGCCATTAGGTACCGAGATGAGATCCTCACACCCCTTGTGAGACCATATGCTGGTGCGGTTGGCCCTGGGTTCCTCCTAATGCAAGTCAATGCTAGACCTCATGTGGCTGGAGTGTGTCAGCAGTTCCTGCAAGAGGAAGGCATTGATGCTATGGACTGGCCCGCCCGTTCCCCAGACCTGAATCTAATTGAGCACATCTGGGACATCATGTCTCGCTCCATCCACCAACGCCACGTTGCACCACAGACTGTCCAGGAGTTGGCGGATGCTTTAGTCCAGGTCTGGGAGGAGATCCCTCAGGAGACCATCCGCCATCTCATCACCTTATTTAATTTCTTTAATTTTTTAAAAATGTAGTCCCCTATATTACTTTCCAACCCCACCACCCTTTCCCTAATTGGTGTAAAATAGTGAACAACAATGCTTAGGCCTCTACTTCCAGCTTATACTTACTATATACATTTTATGGACACAGTCAATTTTACAATAATTATATTTTGTTTATTTTTTCTCCTGAACTTCTTCTACTCTCAACCTCTCTGATCATTTTCATGATGTTCATCCGGTTTGCTTCTATATGCCATATCTTTCTAACTGTGCTCTTTCACAAAAGCTCCCAACCTACAACCTATATACTTATTATGGACACAGTATGCTTACATTATTAGTTATCTTGTTGTTATTAGTTGTTGTTAGTTGTTATTAGTTCCATCCTTCAACTCCATTCATCACCACCCATCTATCTCTTAACACCATCCATATAGGATTTCTATTTGCCATATATTTTTCAACTGTACTGTGATGTTTTACAAAAGTTCTGAACCTTTCTATTCTCATTGTTTCTACAGATTGTAAATTGTCCTAACCGACTTGCCAAAACGATAGTTTGTTAACAAGAAATTTGTGGAGAGGTTGACAAACAAGTTTTAATGACTCCAACCTAAGTCATTACTACTTCCGACTTCAACTGTATATTACATCTAGATACTGCATAATAAGTTCTCAACAACACAAGAAGAAGAGTGAAGACTGATGCATGTCCTTTGACCTTAAGAGTGTGTCTGTGTCCCTCCCTCATCAGCTCATGACCAAGTCCAGTGAGAAGCCTCGTCTCACACAGATCCCCTCGAAGGACATAGACCCAGCGGAGACCGGGCCCTGGGGACGGCTACCAGAGGAGGAGACAGAGTGGGACCAGCAACACTGAGTCAATGTGGGACACAGAGTCCACCTCCTCACGCGACTGCCATGGAGAATACACCATGGAACACACACCTCTGATGAATCAGGTACACAGACACGAACATTTGCACGCAGGCGCGCGCACACACACACACACACACACACACACAGATACACACACACACACACACAGAGAGCTACCTAGGTCATACATACACAAATTTATTATATTAGTCCCACTCTCAAATATACACTATATATACAAAAGTGGATTTGGCTATTTCAGCCACACCCGTTACTAACAGGTGTATAAAATTGAGCACACAGACATGCAATCTCCATAGACAAACATTGGCAGTAGAATGGCCTTACTGAAGAGCTAAGTGACTTTCAACGTGGCACCGTCATAGGATGCCACGTTTCCAACAAGTCAGTTCGTCAGATTTCTGCTAGAGCTGCCCCGCTCAACTGTAAGTGCTGTTATTGTGAAGTGGAAACGTCTAGGAGCAACAATGGCTCAGCCGCGAAGTGGTAGGCCACACAAGCTCACATGACGGGACCACCGAGTGTTGAAGCGCGTATTGCGTAAAAATGGTCTGTCCTCGGTTGCAATACCAGCCAACTTGTTTTGACCTCGGTGGGTTTATTTATGTAAGGGAGTGTGTACACGTATTACTATTACATTATTAATGGGGTTGCAACACTCACTACCGAGTTCCAAACTGCCTCTGGAAGCAACGTCAGCACAAGAACTGTTCGTCGGGAGCTTCATGAAATGGGTTTCCTTGGCCGAGCAGCCGCACACAAGCCTAAGATCACCATGCGTAATGCCAAGCGTCGGCTGGAGTGGTGTAAAGCTTGCCGCCATTGGACTATGGAGCAGTGGAAATGCGTTCTCTGGAGTGATGAATCACGCTTTAACATCTGGCAGTCCGAAGGACAAATCTGGGTTTGGCGGATGCCAGGAAAACGCTAACTGCCCCAATGCATACTGCCAACTGTAAAGTTGTTCCAATATCTACTATAGTGGAATGCCTTCCCAGAACAGTGGAGGCTGTTATAGCAGCAAAGGGGGGGACCAACTCCATATTAATGCCCATGATTTTGGAATGAGATGTTCGACAAGCAGGTGTCCACATACCTTTGGTCATGTAGCGTCCTCAGAGAATGTGCAGACCAGCTGGCTGGAGTGTTTACGGACATATTCAATATCTCCCTATCCCAGTCTGCTGTCCCCACTTGCTTCAAGAGTGCCACCATTGTTACTGTACCCAAGAAAGCAAAGGTAACTGAACTAAATTACTATCACCCCGTAGCACTCACTTCTGTCCTCATGAAGTGCTTTGAGAGACTAGTCAAGGATCATATCACCTCTACCTTACCTGACACCCTAGACCCACTTCAATTTGCATACCACCCCAATAGATCCACAGACGATGCAATCGCCATTGCACTGCACACTGCCCTATCCCATCTGGACAAGAGGAATACCTATGTAAGAATGCTGTTCATTGACTATAGCTCAGCCTTCAACACCATAGTACCCTCCAATCTCATCATTAAGCTCGGGGTTCTGAACCCCACCCTGTCTAACTGGGTCCTGGACTTCCTGACGGGCCGCCCCCAGGTGGTGAATGTAGGAAACAACACCTCCACTTCGCTGATCCTCCTGTACTCCCTGTTCACCCATGACTGCGTGGCCACGCACGCCTCCAACTCAATCATCAAGTTTGCAGACGACACAACAGTAGTAGGCCTAATTACCAACAATGACGAGACAGCCTACAGGGAGGTGGTGAGGGCCCTGGCAGAGTGGGTCCAGGAAAATAACCTCTCTCTCAATGTCAACAAAATGAAGGAGCTGATCGTGGACTTCAGGAAACAGCAGAGGGAGCACGCCCCTATCCACATCGACAGGACCACAGTGGAGAAGGTGAAAAGCCTCAAGTTCCTCGGCGTAAACATCACTGACAATCTGAAATGGTCCACCCACACAGACAGTGTGGTGAAGAAGGCAACAGTGCCTCTTCAACCTCAGGAGGCTGAAGAAATTGGGCTTGGCCCCTAAGGCCCTCACAAACTTTTACAGATGCACAATTGAGAGCATCCTGTCGGGCTGTATCACCGCCTGATACGGCAACTTCACCGCCCGCAACCGCAGGGCTCTCCAGAGGGTGGTGCGGTCTGCCCAACGCATCACCAGGGGGCAAACTACCCGCCCTCCAAGACACCTACAGCACCCGATGTCACAGGAAGGCCAAAAAGGTAATCAAGGACATCAACCACCTGAGCCACGTCCTGTTCACCCCGCTACCATCCAGAAGGCGAGGTCAGTACAAGTGCATCAAAGCTGGGACCGAGAGACTGAAAAACAGCTTCTATCTCAAGGCCGTCAGACTGTTAAATAGCCATCACTAGCCAGCTACCACTCAGTTACTCAACCATGCACCTTAGAGGCTGCTGCCCTATATACAAAGGCATGGAATCACTCATCACTTTAAAAATGGAACACTAGACACTTTAATAATGTTTACATACTGCTTTACTCATTTCATATGTATATACTGTATTCTATTCTACTGTATTTTAGTCAATGCCACTCCATTGCTCGTCCTAATATTTATATATTTCTTAATTCCATTCTTTTACTTTTAGATTTGTGTGTATTGTTGTGAATTGTTAGATACTACTGCACTTTAGGAGCTAGGAACACAAGCCTTTCGCTACACCCGCAATAACAAAGGCTAAATATGTGTATGTGACCAATATGATTTGATTTGATTTGTAGCTTCAGTTCAGACCACCTTTCTGGCTCTCCAATAGAGGGTGCCATGGCATTACGGCTCACTCTGTTAGTCATCCCTTAGTCGTGGCTTTTACAAGGTGCTGTAGTTGGGCTGTTTTATGTCGTTTCTAAAGTAACTGCTAATAACGATCTGGGAAACAAGTAAACAAACATTTTGCCTTTAAAAAAAAATTGTTGTTTTACTTTTTTTCCCTCCACTCTCCCTCCCTTTCTATCGTTTTATCTACTCCCCCACCTCCCCCACCTCCCCCCCTCAAGTATTTTCGTTGGGAGCAGCCCAGGCACCTCCAGGTCCTGACTGACAGGTGCAGACAAGCGACCCACCTGGACCCCCTGGGTGTGCCCGTGGTTCTGGGCCCTGCCCACCGCCCCCTCGGTCGCGCCCAGTCCTCCCCCGCCTCCACCTCTCTCCCCCCTCCTCCACAGCCCACGGACACCCCACTGTCTCTGGCCAGCCCTGGTCCGGAGACCACCGCCAAGCTACGCTTCACCACTGGTGAGAGACATTTGGGGAATGCTGTACTGTACACGGTGCTTGTTGTATCTTGTTGTATCTCATGTACAACATACTATATATTCAGAAGGTGCTGTATGTTCCATCCGTAGAATTACATATTAGCACTTATTATTTATTTATTAGGATCTCTGTGGTCCCGTCTACTGTATGTGTGTCTGGCTTTCTGGCTTTCTATCTATTTTGTATGGTCTCTAAACTACGGTGTGTGTCGGTGTGTGTGTGTGTGTGTAGGTCTGGTGTATGACTCTCAGATGCTGAAGCACCAATGCACCTGTGGCGACAATAGCCGACACCCCGAGCATGCTGGAAGAATCCAAAGCATCTGGTCCAGACTTCAGGAGAGGGGCCTCAGGAACCAGTGTGAGGTAGGTACAATATAAAGTACTACACAGCAGCACATACTACACTACAATATTCTAGATTCAGAGGGGTTAAATGCGGAAGACACATTTCAGTTGAATGCATTCAGTTGTACAACTGACTAGGTATCCCCCTTTCCCGTTCTACACAACACCACAGAACTAAATATGTTGGTTGAAACTGCTGTTATGAACACTGCTGCCACCTAGGGTTACACCCCAGCACTGCACCCCCCTTTGCCCTGGCCCAGGGTTCCAAGATCAAACTTTGTGTGTTGTTTGTTTCTTTAAACAGTCCATTGAGGTCAGAATACCTCTTTTCCAAGGGAGGCCTGTTTGTGTACTTATGCTGTAATTTGTGTTTGTGTGTTGATGGGTGCGTGTGTGCATTCGTGAGTGCATTCATGAGTGCATGCATGTGGACTAGTGTGTGTATGTGCCTGTGTCTCGTGTGTGTGCGTGTGTTAACTCTAAATGGCATGGTGTGTGTGTGTGTGTGTGTGCTCCTCCAGTGTATCCGGAGCAGAAAGGCCACTCTGGAGGAGCTTCAGTCTGTCCACTCTGAGAAACATGTCCTGCTGTACGGCACCAACCCTCTCAACCGCCTCAAACTGGACAACCGCAAGCTGACTGGTGCGACACACACTCAGTCTCTCCTCTCTCTCTCTCTCTCTCTCTCTTCGTCTCTCTCTCTCTCTCTCTCCTCATCTCTCTCTCTCGCTCTCGGTCTTTCTCTCTCTCGTCTCTTCCTCTCTATCTCTCTTTTCTCTCTCCCTCTCTCTCGTTCCTCTCTCACTCTCTCTCTTCTCTCTCTCACTACATGCACGCTCATCTTCACACACACACACACCCCTCTGACACACCTCATTGTCAAACACTCACATTACACTACTGTTCAAAAGTTTGGGGGTCACTTAGAAATGTCCTTGTTTTCGAAAGAAGCAATTTTTTTGTCCATTTAAAATAACATCAAATTGATCAGAAATACAGTGTGGACATTGTTAATGTTGTAAATGGCTATTGTAGCTGGAAACGGCTGATTTTTTATGGAATATCTACATAGGCGTACAGAGGCCCATTATCAGCAAACATCAGTCCTGTGTTCCAATGGCACGTTGTGTTTGCTAATCCAAGTTTATTATTTTAAAAGGCTAATTGATCATTATAAAACCCATTTGCAAAGAAAAAGCCATATTTCAGACTGGCCAATCAAAAGTAAATATTAAAGATGGGCAGTCTGAGATATGGCTTTTTCTTTGCAACTCTGCCTAGAAGGTCAGCATCCCGGAGTCGCCTCTTCAATGTTGACGTTGAGACTGGTGTTTTGCGGATACTATTTAATGAAGCTGCCAGTTGAGGAGTGAGGTGCCTGTGAGGTGCCTGTTTCTCAAACTAGACACTATTGTATTTGTCCTCTTGCTCAGTTGTGCACCTGGGCCTCCCACTCCTCTTTCTATTCTGGTTAGAGCCAGTTTGCGCTGTTCTGTAAAGGGAGTAGTACACAGCGTTGTACGAGATCTACAGTTTCTTGGCAATTTCTCGCATGGAATAGCCTTCATTTCTCAGAACAAGAATAGACTGACGAGTTTCAGAAGAAAGTTCTTTGCTTCTGGCCATTTTGAGCCTTTAATCGAACCCACAATTGCTGATGCTCCAGATACTCAACTAGTCTCAAGAAGGCCAGTTTTATTGCTTCTTTAATCAGCACAACAGTTTTCAGCTGTGCTACCATAATTGCAAAAGGGTTTTCTAATGATCAATTAGCCTTTTGAAATGATAAACTTGGATTAGCAAACACAACGTGCCATTGGAACACAGGACTGATGTTTGCTGATAATGGGCCTCTGTACGCCTATGTAGATATTCCATAACAAATCAGCCGTTTCCAGCTCCAATAGCCATTTACAACATTAACAATGTCTACACTGTATTTCTGATCAATTTGATGTTATTTTAATGGACAAAAAAATTGCTTTTCTTTCGAAAACAAGGACATTTCTAAGTGACCCCAAACTTTTGAACGGTAGTGTGGGTAATAGGCACACATCAGTATTTTTACACACTCATAATCACACACATGGAACTATACACATACAGTGGGGAGAACAAGTATTTGATACACTGCCGATTTTGCAGGTTTTCCTACTTACAAAGCATGTAGAGGTCTGTAATTGTTATCATAGGTACACATCAACTGTGAGAGACGGAATCTAAATCAAAAATTCAGAAAATCACATTGTATGATTTTTAAGTAATTAATTTGCATTTTATTGCATGACATAAGTATTTGATACATCAGAAAAGCAGAACTTAATATTTGGTACAGAAACCTTTGTTTGCAATTACAGACATCATACGTTTCCTGTAGGTCTTGACCAGGTTTGCGCACACTGCAGCAGGGATTTTGTCCCACTCCTCCATACAGACCTTCTCCAGATCCTTCAGGTTTCGGGGCTGTCGCTGGGCAATACGGACTTTCAGCTCCCTCCAAAGATTTTCTATTGGGTTCAGGTCTGGAGACTGGCTAGGCCACTCCAGGACCTTGAGATGCTTCTTATGGAGCCACTCCTTAGTTGCCCTGGCTGTGTGTTTCGGGTCGTTGTCATGCTGGAAGACCCAGCCACGACCCGTCTTCAATGCTCTTACTGAGGGAAGGAGGTTGTTGGCCAAGATCTCACGATACATGGCCCCATCCATCCTCCCCTCAATACGGTGCAGTCGTCCTGTCCCCTTTGCAGAAAAGCATCCCCAAAGAATGATGTTTCCACCTCCATGCTTCACGGTTGGGATGGTGTTCTTGGGGTTGTACTCATCCTTCTTCTTCCTCCAAACACGGCGAGTGGAGTTTAGACCAAAAAGCTCTATTTTTGTCTCATCAGACCACATGACCTTCTCCCATTCCTCCTCTGGATCATCCAGATGGTCATTGGCAAACTTCAGACGGGCCTGGATATGCGCTGGCTTGAGCAGGGGGACCTTGCGTGCGCTGCAGGATTTTAATCCATGACGGCGTAGTGTGTTACTAATGGTTTTCTTTGAGACTGTGGTCCCAGCTCTCTTCAGGTCATTGACCAGGTCCTGCCGTTTAGTTCTGGGCTGATCCCTCACCTTCCTCATGATCATTGATGCCCCACGAGGTGAGATCTTGCATGGAGCCCCAGACCAAGGGTGATTGACCGTCATCTTGAACTTCTTCCATTTTCTAATAATTGCGCCAACAGTTGTTGCCTTCTCACCAAGCTGCTTGCCTATTGTCCTGTAGCCCATCCCAGCCTTGTGCAGGTCTACAATTGTATCCCTGATGTCCTTACACAGCTCTCTGGTCTTGGCCATTGTGTAGTTGTTGGAGTCTGTTTGATTGAGTGTGTGGACAGGTGTCTTTTATACAGGTAACGAGTTCAAACAGGTGCAGTTAATACAGGTAATGAGTGGAGAACAGGAGGGCTTCTTAAAGAAAAACGAACAGGTCTGTGAGAGCCGGAATTCTTACTGGTTGGAAGGTGATCAAATACTTATGTCATGCAATAAAATGCAAATTAATTACTTAAAAATCATACAATGTGATTTTCTGGATTTTTGTTTTAGATTCCGTCTCTCACTGAAGTGTACCTATGATAAAAATTACAGACCTCTACATGCTTTGTAAGTAGGAAAACCTGCAAAATCGGCAGTGTATCAAACACTTGTTCTCCCCACTGTATGCATTGATCATCAAGTATTGAATGAATGTAAGATTAATGTATTTGATTTCTCTCACTCTTTCAGGAATCTTATCTCAAAGGATGTTTGTGATGCTACCATGTGGAGGAGTTGGAGTGAGTTACTCAGAATAACACACACACACACACATGAACAAACACACAGATTTACAGTACACTGGCAAACAGCTCAACAGACCCTGTAACGAACAATCAAAGAGTCATGTGAAATCTGTCCACTTATCTAATCACATTACAAAATGGCAAACATTACATGCTTGATTATACCTCATTACACAATTAAGCTAATAGGGATACAAATTGTGGAGGCTGTTGTTTTTGGCGGGGACACGGTTGAAACGCCAATCAGATATCAAAGGCAAAGAAGAGGTGAGAGATGAGAAGAAGAGAGAGAGGAAGAAAGTGTGGACTCTGAATTGTTTGCTTGGAGGGGTGCCTGGGGAACTGTGGTTGAGTGGTTGAGTGGAGGGGAATTTATTCAGGAGGAAGAGGGTGAAGAGAGGATGAATGGAGGAGGAAGAGGGGGAGAAGAGAGGAGGAGGAATAATTGGGCTAGTATGGTGTTGATAAGGAAAGAGAAAATGCAGACACTGAAGAAGAGGAGGAAGAAGAGATGAGTGCAGGAGGATGACGAAGATGAGAGAGAAAGGGAAGGGGAGCGTTGAAGAGGAAAAGAGAAAGAGGTAGAGTGTGTGTAGTCTTGATGAAGAAGAAAAAATGTGGATACTAAAGAAGAGGATGAAGAGGGGATGAGTGGAGGAGGAAGAAGATGAGAGCAAGAGGGTGAAGAGGAGAGTAGAGGACGGTTTGTATGGTGTTGATAAGGCGCCTGATCTGCCTGGATTTCCGGCCCTTGGTTCCTCTGGTGAGGCGAGCTGATTGAAACAATATGGCGAAGAAAGTGATAAAAGAAATTCCTCTGATTTCATTGTTCTGCCAAACCGCCAGAAATGTGGAGTTTTTAAACATGGAATAACAAAGGGAGGGAGAGAGAGAGAGAGAATCTGAGAACAGGAATACTCTACTACCCCCTTTACCGTCATCATCAGCGGTTAAAGTCAGGGTTGTGGTGATTTGTGTGGGTAAATGTTACCCTTGCCACTTCCATACCCCTGACTCCCAATAAGTTATGCTTCTCTTCATTTAGTTGGAACACAGTAGAGACTTTGTAATCCAATACTGTAACAATCCAGTCCTTACCACAACCCGTCACCTCTGTTTCCCAATTCCACTGGATGACTTCCTCTTTACCTCATTGGGCTGTCACATAGTTGACATCAAGTGAGACCTATTTCAACCAATCAACTTATATTGTTTCTAAACGATGCCCTTGTTTCTCCTTGTGGTTTTAACTTTGATCCTGCCTCCTGGTAAATTCCTGGTTTTGTATGATTGACAGGTGGACAACGATACGATCTGGAATGCGACGCACACGTCGACGGCGTCTCGCTTGGCGGCAGGCAGCGTGACGGAGCTGGCACTCAGGGTGGCACAGGGAGAGCTGAAGGTGAGACCGCCAACCATTCATTGTCACCTCGGTTACACCCCCACTTAGTTTTGTCAGGGCCGTAACACAACTGGTCAGAATTATCAACACCGTAACATACATTAATACACCTGGATATTGAAGCATAATGTAACTTCTGTTTGTTTTTATTGAATTTATGAATTTCACAAGAAATTGGAATACAAAAATTGCCATTCTATATCAGTACCATTCAGTGTATTCTGAACCGATAAACATAAAATTGGAAGATGTGCTCAGAGAGAGCAAAAGTGTTACAGGTTCTATTCCCTTCTCACAGAATGGCTTTGCAGTGGTGAGGCCCCCCGGACACCATGCAACCCGCTCTACCCCCTTGTAAGTACTGCACAGACACACACACACACATACATGGAGTCATGAGGTCTCTAAAATCATTTCAAAGGGTTCCCTATACATCAAAAGCACCGTTCAAAAGTGTGTGTTATGTGTGTGTATGGAGTATGTGTGTTACCTGCCCAAGGCTTGTGTGTGTGTGTGTATCAGTCTGAAATAGAATTCATTAGAAGGCTAACCACATTCAGCTGTGTGTGCTTGTATACGTCAGTGTGTGTGTGTGCGTGCTTGCATGCGTGAGTGGGTTTACGCGTGATAATGTGTCTGTCACTAGTTATTTATGTGTCGATAAAGACTTTCTGGAGGAAAGGAGTTGGCCAGCAGATATGATCTACAGTTCACACTCTCCCAGCTTATAGCTCCTGCTGACACCGCCGCTTTCAACATTCCTCTTCTCATTTTCATACATCAACTCTTTCTCTCACACCTTCTCTGTCTCACAATATCATACGGATATTGAGTACGAGTCAGCTTACTGTAAGTGGTTTATGAGGAGCACATTCTCTGAAATGCATGAGGAGGGAGGTCACGAGAAGTTATTTTAGGTCACGAGAAGTTATTTTGAGATGTAGAGAGTATTTTAGTCTTTGTGTTTTGCTTTTGTTTCAGTTATGGTTTTCTTTTGTCTAAGATTGTCAGATGTTTACATGCCGTGTCTTTTTCCCATCGTTCATACATTGCCCCTTCGCCATTCTGCCACTGTCTTTCCAAACCATGCCTAAATATGAGTGCATGTCCAGTGAAACAAAGCATGTTTGACTCATTGGTACTAATATCCTCACATCACCTAGTGTGTGTATTGTGAGGATATTCTCTGAGACGCCCACACATTATTGTGGGGACATCTCCTGAAAATCCTTCACTTTACATTGTGTCTTTTGTCTCATTATGGGAACATGACCTCCTAAGTCCTGAGTATATCCTCATAAACCCACGTGTGTCTTTCCAAAGGGGTTTCTGCTTCTTCAACTCCGTGGCCATCGCAGCCAAGCAGCTCCAGCACAAACTCAGCATCAGCAAGATCCTCATTGTGGACTGGGTGAGAGACGACCGCCATCACTGGTCCCCACATGGGAGCTAAACACTTGCTTACTTACACAATTCACGTATTGACCATAAGCGTGGTGTCAACATTCACACTGATCTCTGCTTTCCACATGAGTCTGGGCCCGCCACGAGTCTGGGCGTTAACACAGACAGACACACACATGTTGGAACACATGCACACTTAAGTACTTCCTGGTTTATAAAGACAAATAATTCAATGTAGTTTGGTGTGCACTAAAGGAGATGATGCAAACAACCAGAGCAAGTATGAAACTGGTCAAGCGTACTACATAATTAAGAGTATAACGACCCCTTGACCTTTATCCCCAATGTCCAGGATGTTCACCATGGCAACGGTACCCAGTCGGTGTTCTACAACGACCCCAGCGTGCTGTATATCTCCCTGCATCGCTATGACAATGGCAACTTCTTCCCCGGTAGCGGGGACCCAGCTGAGGTAAGTTAGGTTGCACTATCCCACCACCATGTACATCATGCTCCCCCATCAAATACATGAATGGTCTTTTCATTTGAAGAAGAAAAAAAACGTCTGAGCCAGCACAGAACGGATTGGGTCGGCCCAATAGTCTGAAAACCTCTTTAGCGTCTGTTACCACCCACTCCATTCTCACCAAATAAGGAGGATAAAAAAGTGGACATTTTCCCATATTCTTCATCATGGGAGGATGGTCCATTAGATGCTACGCTGGCTTGGATGTGGTTTAGCCTTAAATAGCCCCTCTGAGCTGTGTGGTAAACCTCTGGAGTCTCTGTGTCCCTCTACCACAGCCCCATGTACCTATATAACACACTAGGGGGTAGCAGTGATGTCATCAGGGGTACCACACAAAAACATCAGGGTACCCGTAATCCGCTCCAGGGTCTCTTAAACATGAAAGGAATAACAGAAGGGATGAAGAAGAGAAGAACAATGGAGAGAGAGAAAGAGAGGGAGAGTGACTAGTTGGCAGTGGATGGCGGAGCTCATGTGTTTTGAGTTTGCCCTGTGAACATCCCGTCTACCGAGAGAGAGTCGAGTCAGACACTCTGCAACGCACATCATCCTCACACACACGAACACACACCCACAAAGGAAATGGCTGCGATTTGTTGCCAAGAGTGTGTCACTCAGAGTCCTCACTATCTCCTCACCGTGACATTGAGCGATGGTGGAGGAGTTTCAAAAGCGAAATAGCCGTTAGCAGGCATTTTTAAGGCTTACTCTCCTCTTAAGACCAGGGGATCAGTTAGTATGCCATCCCACAAACGTGAGGTCAAATCAGGGAGACGTCCACCGGTTGTGCCTGGCATTTGATGAAATATAGTCTCTCTTGACAGATGTTAAAATTGGGTTCTGGGTGCGGAGATTAGGTGAAATATAGCTAGAAATGGAATATCGCCAAGTGCCGACTCAAGAATATACGTACGTCCCTGTAGTGTGTTCAAACTGGGACTTAATCTGGGTGTAGTTTTGTTGCTGCGAGTGATTTATAAGCAGATTTGACAAATTGTATCAAAAATCGAAATAGTTGAGTTGATGGAGGCATTGAATTAATGGCCAGCCGTCTTTCATTTGGAAATCGTAATCACTCCCTTATGTCATTGAAATGTGACGCGGCTTTTCATTAATTGCACAAATGCACATTGTTAAACAACCGTGCTGATTGTCTGTGAACATTTGATGCAAAATATCTCATGACCTTTAACTCTCAGCACAACTTTCAATGAAGTAAGATGCAAACATAACTCTCTCTCCCTTCTCTCTCTCTCTCCCGCTCTGTCCAGGTTGGAGCAGGTGCAGGTGAGGGCTTCAATGTCAATGTGGCGTGGACGGGAGGCTTGGATCCCCCCGTGGGCGACGCTGAATACCTGGCAGCATTTAGGTACAGTAGAGACACACACACCTAACCTACCTCACCTTACCTCCAGCCCAATTCACATTAAAACAAAAGCACAAAGATTATATTCTAGTCAAAGCCAGGGGTGCTCGCTATTGATTCATAGAAAGTCTTACCAAACCTCGTCACTCATCGTTGAAATATGACACACAGCTGTGATATAACAGACATGTATATCATGTGTTCAGATGTTATATTGTGGTGCGAGTTGGATGTTTGTAATGCCAACCAATCCATGGGGAATTCATGGATTTACTTAGACCATGACCTCTGCGTACATTAATGAACATACTTTGCTGGTGTCAAACCATAAATGATAACATAATACATATTTTGAAAGCTGAGAAACAGCCCTTTCAAATGATATGACATGCAATAGCACCACATCAATCAAATGGTAATCAGTCAAGAAAAAACACCTGTGAAAATGTGTATCTTGTACACTGCCATTTACACCACTTCCTAATGAAGATAGAGAACAACTTAGAGCATATTGAGTCTTCCTTATTTTGTAAGGAGTGACTGAAATCAGAATTGAACTGGAATTACAAAATAAGGCATATAATTACAATAATTGGCTTTTAACTTTAATTCCTTCTATACAGTGCCTTCGGAACGTATTCAGACCCCTTGACGTTTTCCACATTTTGTTACGTTACAGCCTTATTCTAAAATGGATTAAATGTTATATTTTTTTCAGCAATCTACACACAATACCCCATAATGACAAAGCGAAAACAGGTTTTTATCAATTTTTGCAAATGTATTAAATATAAAAAACAGAAATACCTTATTTACATAAGTATTCAGACCCTTTGCTATGAGACTCGAAATTGAGCTCAGGTGCATCCTGTTTCCATTGATCATCCTTGAGATGTTTCTACAACTTGATTGGAGTCCACCTGTGGTAAATTCAATTGATTAGACATGATTTGGAAAGGCACACACCTGACTATACAGTTGAAGTTGGATGTTTACATATACCCAAATACATTTAAACTCAGTTTTTCACAATTCCTGACATTTAATCCTAGTAAAAATGTCCTGTCTTAGGTCAGTTAGGATCACCACTTTAGTTTAAGAATGTGAAATGTCAGAATAATAGTAGAGAGAATGATTTATTTCAGCTTTTATTTATTTTATCACATTCCCAGTGAGTCAGAAGTTTACATACACTCAATTAGTATTTGGTAGCATTACCTTTAAATTGTTTAACTTGGGTCAAACGTTTTGGGTAGCCTTCCACAAGCTTCCAACAATAAGTTGGGTGAATTTTGACCCATTCCTCCTGACAGAGCTGGTGTAACTCAGTCAGGTTCGTAGGCCTCCTTGCTCGCACACGATGTTTCTGTTCTGTCCACACATTTTCTATAGGATTGAGGTCAGGGCTTTGTGATGGCCACTCCAATACCTTGACTTTGTTGTCCTTAAGCCATTGGAAGTATGCTTGGGGTGATTGTCCATTTGGAAGACCCATTTGCGACCAAGCTTTAACTTCCTGACTGATGTCTTGAGATGTTGCTTCAATATATCCACATCAATTTCCTTCCTCATGATGCCATCTATTTTCTGAAGTGCACCAGTCCCTCCTGCAGCAAAGCACCCCCACAGCATGATGCTGCCACCCCCGTGCTTCACGGTTGGGATGGTGTTCTTCGGCTTGCAAGCTTCCCCCTTTTTCCTCCAAACATAACGATGGTCATTATGGCCAAACAGTTCTATTTTTGTTTCATCAGACCAGAGGACATTTCTCCAAAAGGTACGATCTTTGTCCCCATGTGTAGTTGCAAACCGTAGTCTGGCTTTTTTATGGCAGTTTTGGAGCAGTGGCTTCTTCCTTGCGGAGATACAGGACTCGTTTTACTGTGGATATAGATACTTTTGTACCTGTTTCCTCCAGCATCTTCACAAGGTCCTTTACTGTTGTTCTGGGATTGATTTGCACTTTTCGCACCAAAGTACGTTAATCTCTAGGAGACAGAACGCGTCTCCTTCCTGAGCGGTATGACGGCTGCGTGGTCCCATGGTGTTTATACTTGCGTACTATTGTTTGTACAGAGTAACGTGTACCAGGCATTTGGAAATTGCTCCCAAGGATGAACCAGACTTTTGGAGGTCTACCATTTGTTTTCTGAGGTCTTGGCTGATTTATTTTGATTTTCCCATGATGTCAAGCAAAGAGGCACTGAGTTTGAAGGTAGGCCTTGAAATACATCCACAGGTACACCTCCAATTGACTCAAATGATGTCAATTAGCCTATCAGAAGCTTCTAAAGCCATGACATCATTTTCTGGAATTGTCCAAGCTGTTTAAAGGCACAGTAAACTTCTGACCCACTGAAATTGTGGTACAGTGAATTATAAGTGAAATAATCTGTCTGTAAACAATTGTTGGAAAAATTACTTGTGTCATGCACAAAGTAGATGTCCTAACCGACTTGCCAAAACTATAGTTTGTTAACAATACATTTGTGGAGTGGTTGAAAAACAAGTTTTAATGACTCCAACCTACGTGTATGTAAACTTCCGACTTCAACTGTATAAGGTCCCACAGTTGACAGTGCATGTCAGAGCAAAAACCAAGCCGTGAGGTCAAAGGAATTGTCCGTAGTGCTCCGAGACAGGATTGTGTCGAGGCACAGATCTGGGGAAGGGTACCAAAACATTTATGCAGCATTGAAGGTCCCCAAGAACGCAGTGGCCTCCATCATTCTTAAATGGAAGAAGTTTGGAACCACCAAGACTGCCCGGCCAAACGGAGCAATCGGGGGAGAAGAGCCTTGGTCAGGGAGGTGACCAAGAACCCGATGGTCACTCTGACAGAGCTCTAGAGTTCCTCTGTGGAGATGGGAGAACCTTCCAGAAGGACAACCAACTCTACAGCACTCCACCAATCAGGCCTTTATGGTAGAGTGGTCAGACGGAAGCCACTCCTCAGTAAAAGGCATATGACAGCCTGCTTGGAGTTTGCCAAAAGGCAACTAAAGACTCGCAGACCATGAGAAACCTGCCGCCATCCCAATGGTGAAGTATGGTGGTGGAAGCATCATGCTGTGAGGATGTTTTTCAGTGACAGGGACTGGGAGACTAGTCAGGATCGAGGGAAAGATGAACGGAGCAAAGTACAGAGAGATCCTTGATGAAAACCTTCTCCAGAGCTCTCAGGACCTCAGACTGGGGCAAAGGTTCACCTTCCAACGGGACAAGAACCAAAAGCACAAAGCCAAGACAATGAAGAAGTGGCAAAGTACTGAGTAAAGGGTCTGAATACTTATGTAAATGTAATATTCCCTTTTTTTTTTTACTTTTTTTTTTTATAAATGTGCAGAAATGTCTAAAAACCTGTTTTTGCTTTGTCATTATTGGGTAATGTGTGTAAATTGATGAGGGGAAAAAAACAATTGAATCCATTTTAGAATTAGGCTTTAAAGTAACAAAATGTGGAAAAAATCAAGGGGTCTGAATACTTTCCGAAGGCGCTGTATATATATATAAAACATTTTTCATTTAAGAATGATGGAGGCCACTGTGTTCTTGAAGACCTTCAATGCTGCAGACAATTTTTGGTACCCTTCCCCAGATCTGTGCCTCGACACAATCCTGTCTCAGAGCTCTACGGACAATTCCTTCGACCTCACAGCTTGATATTTGCTCTGACATGCACTGTCAACTGTGGGATCTTATATAGACAGGTGTGTGCCTTTCCAAATTATGTCCAATCAATTGATTTCACCACAGGTGGACTCCAATCAAGTTGTAGAATCATCTCAAGGATTATCAATGGAAACAGGATGCACGTGAGCTCATTTTCGAGTCTCATAGCGAAGGGTCTGAATACTTATGTAAATAAGGTATTTGTGTTTTTATTATGGGGTATTGTGTGTAGATTGATGTGGTTAAAACATTACTTAATCAATTTTAGAATAATGCTGTAACGTAGCAAAATGTGGAAAAAGGGAAGGGGTCTGAATACTTTCCAAATGCACTGTATAGAAGGAATTAAAGTTAAAAGCCAATTATTGTAATTATATGCCTTATTTTGCACTGTATATCTACATTTACATTTACATTTACGTCATTTAGCAGACGCTCTTATCCAGAGCGACTTACAAATTGGTGCATTCACCTTATATCTATATATATATATATGTAAGTGTTTAGCTCACATAATATAATTTAAAAGTATGCATTATGGTGTCTGTAGTACAGTTGTGGTCAAAAGTTTTGAGAATGACACAAATATTAATTTTCACCAAGTCTGCTGCCTCAGTTTTGATTATGGCAATTTGCATATACTCCAGAATGTTATGAAGAGTGATCAGATGAATTGCAATTAGATGCAAAGAGATGTTTCTATATTACAAGCACACGTTTATTATTAGTGGATTGAATACATCTCTTTGCACAGCTTTACTTCCTAAAGAGTTTCCATTCCCCTTTAATACTGCATGCCGTTCTGTAGGTTATTGACGGTCTTTGCGTTGTCATCTCCAATTCGACTGGCCCCCTTACAGAAACAATCTATACTAATCCTATAAGATTATCATACACATTTATTATAAAAATATTATAGTAATATTATAGTAATTACTATAGAAATTACTATAAAAAATATTATGGTATTTTCGGGAAATTACTATAAGAAATCTAGTCATTTTATATATATCTACAGTGAGGGAAAAAAGTATTTGATCCCCTGCTGATGTTGTACGTTTGCCCACTGACAAAGAAATGATCAGTCTATAATTATAATGGTAGGTTTATTTGAACAGTGAGAGACAGAATAACAAAAAAATAAATCCAGAAAAACGCATGTCAAACATTTTTATAAATTGATTTGCATTTTAATGAGGGAAATAAGTATTTGACCCACTCTTAATCAGAAAGATTTCTGGCTCCCAGGTGTCTTTTATACAGGTAACGAGCTGAGATTAGGAGCACACTCTTAAAGGGAGTGCTCCTAATCTCAGCTTGTTACCTGTA